GAACGTTTGCGAAGGGGCGTCTGGAGACCAGTGGTCAACTGATAAATACAGATAATTATCAATTCAATTATGAATTGTTTCTGGGGTTGTATGGAAATTATAGGGAACGACAAAATTACCCACGTAGATTCTGCTATGAGACGTAGGAAACCCAAACAGTGGTGATACAATAGCTCTTCAAGGGAGTCAATCAATCAGCCACCAACCACGTACACATGTGAATGAATGAATAAACATTTATTAAAAAAATACTTACGCATTATGTTACATAACATTCATTAAGCAGGGGAAGTGGCGGGGCACTTTGACGTCCTATTTCAAAACTTTTTCCTATCAACGCACCTAGTCCTAGTTTGTTGTTATTTTTAATTAATCAAACAAGAAAATAGTGGGAAAAATTTTCTTAAAAACCCACTATGTATCAAATAGGATAACAATTAACAAATGAATTAACAAAAATGTGTTAACAAAATTATAAATAAATAAATGAGAATAACAATAACAATGCTACACGGGTAATTGAATTATCACAAATTGTTTTATAGTATCACAGCTCTAGAGGAAACAAAAAATATATCACAGATCCTAAATTTATGTATTGTGCCTAAGCCTTCTATGTTTCCATGGAAAGTTTACATCATACACTCCTATATCCCTACAAGTAGTGTTTTTGCTGGAGGAGAGACCAATAAAAAAATTCCTGGACAGACGCTTTAATTCGGAATTGATATACTCTACTCCCGCTCTCTCATGAGGAGGCCAATTCTGGTGTATCGAGGTAGTGAGGTTATAAACCTTAGAAATTTATTTTGGTCCACTTGCAGTTTTTGGATGTTGGATTCGCACGTGTAACTCCATTCTGGGTAAGCATACAGCAGCATAGGTTTAATAACTACTTTATAAATAATTAGTTTATTTTCAGAGCTCATTCCACTCTCATGGGCCATCAGCGGAAATAAGGCTTTTATAGCTATTTTACCTTTTGTAGCAATATCATTTATATGCCTAGAAAAGTTGAGTTTTCGGTCCAGAGTTAAACCCAAATACTTTACTCTTTCACGCCACTCGACTTGAATTGAAATGGTTTCCCTGAATATTGGTCTTCGTTTTGTGAAAAATATGACCTAAGTGGGGACATTAATCCTGAGTTTCCAGCGGTGACAAAACCTGCAAATCCTGGTGATGCTGTCATTTAATCTTTTCACAATTGTCTTAGGCTTCCAGGATGAACAATAGACAGCAATGTCATCCGCATAAAGCGCAATTTTGCAATTTCTCAGTGAGGAAGTGCACACGTCTTGTAGTATTTTTACAGCCAAAACTCGTCTTTTTTTCTACTGACTTTAGACATTTTGACCGTGATGCTGTGGGAGCGGTTCATTCATTGGGTTCATGTTAAAACGGGTCGGTCGCTATGAGTGTAATCAATTAAGCACAAATGAGGGTTGTTACACTAATTTGAGTTACTTAATTTTGGCTGCATTCGTTTAAAGGCCAATTTACATAAATATTGCTTATTCGGAAGCAAATAAAAAACGAAGGGAGAAGTCCCCTTCAAGCCTTAATAAGCAAGCACACGTTACAAGAGAAAATACACAGATAGTAAGGTTTCGACTGGTGGCAAGTCAAAATAATTTCAAGTACATTATAATGAAAAAATTCCGACGATGGAAAAAAAAACTCAATACAAACATGCCTTCGGGTGTTTATTTTGAAGCCTCGTCCAAATTTTCCAACAGTTAATTATTTTTGTTTGCTTTTAAAATTGGCCGAGTGAGAAAAAAAGCAGAGATTTTTGGACATTCATTAAAAATTGCATTCATAATGAATGGTGGGGTGGTTATCGATCATCGTGTAATTTTCTCTTGAGGCGTGTATTTCGATTAAAATTACAGGTCGGAATTAGCGAGTCTTGTGCCACCCGGTTTTTATTCCTTGCTTTTTATTGTCAAACCCAAGCCCATGAAAAGACAAGCTGATTTTTATACCTTCCTGTCATAACCTATTAGACAGAGGCTATAAACCTGAAAATTTTCGACCATCAACCAATTTGAAATGTCGGTTGCGTGTAATCTGAGAAGGAAGGGATCAAAATTAAAAGACACCCACTTTTGTCTTTTCATTGTAAGAACAAAACCATGAGGGTAATTAATTTTCGTTTCACCCCCTCGGGGTCTAAACGCATCTTCATCAGATTTAGTCTCAACAGATCTCTCTTCCACAGCATGAAGCACGTGATAAATATTCATTAAAAGTTAATCCATTTACGTTTTAGTGATCAATTGACCAAGTTACTTCTTTCAATTAATTATTCTTACTATGTAAGGTGTTGGTTGAAAAAAGAAAGTGTCACGAGAGGGATTCGAACCCACACCTGCGGCTAAATATGTCGCTGCTCTACCACTTGAGCTATCGTGACTGTCGATCTTCTGGGACAATGGCCAAAAGAGGGAAAATTCGAACGGTTGTAGGTTGCGATGGGGAGTTGGTGCCGGGGGGATCGAAGTCACGACAGCCCAAGTGGTAGAGTAGCGGCGTATCAAGCCAAAGGTCGTGGGTTCGAATCCGCTCGTGACACTGCCATTTTAATCTCAACCACCTTACATAGAAAGAATAATTAATTGAAATTCATTAAAAGCTGTATTAATGTAAACTTATATTTGCTTAAAAAAAGGGGGATATTAATTACACATTTATATACACTCAACGTCAAAAAAAACCGGATACTCGAATTTGGTTATCTCAAAATTTTTGTCGTTATATTAATTATAAAAGTCTTCTTTTAATGTAAAACAAATGAAACGAGAATACAAATTCATGAGTTTTAATTTTTAAAAAATTAATTATGGTTTGAAAGAAAACACCGAAAAATCAATTAGTGACAGATTAAAATTAAATAACAATTTATTACCTGGTTTAGCTTTTAATAACGCGTGTTACCTCCTCGGGCCTCGCGAGGGCCTTAAATCTCCTAGGCATCTATTAAATAAAAGGATTTCGTCTTATGAAACAGAATCTCATTCTTCACACAGAGCGGTTTGAAGCTATTTATCGTAGTAATCGTTACAAGTAATGGATGACAACTCGAACTACATGCGGTCAATCATTATCGTTAAAACGAAGTTGTCCTCAATAAATGGGGTGACCAAAGTTCCAGAAGAACTTACCTTCGTGAAGCAAAGATCCATTCTGTACGATAATCAGTCGGGAATAATGGACGTTGATTCCAACCAATTTCAAACGTAACCGACTGTTTTTGAATTGCGGTGTCTCTCTCATGGCATATGAAGCAAAGCGTTCTCAACGTCTTCTCCACGACGGACCCGGTCTTCTGATTGCCACAGACCAAACCGGCACTCATATGTTAAGAGATTTGATTTGCGAATAGACGCCATTCCACCCGATGCCTCTCCAGTAGTAGACTGTTTTTGAGCTCACCCTTACATTACGGACCGTTTGCAGTTGACTACCTATCAACGAAGCCGTTAATTGACAGTTCCGTAATGATTCGAACCCATGATAACTCAACTGGTTAGAGCAGCGGCGTATTGAGCCGAAGGTCATGGGTTCGAATCTCGCTCGTGACACTAACTTTTTCATCTCAACAGAGACCTTGCATAGAAAGAATCATCAATTGAAAAACTAATTTGGTCAATTAGACCACTAAAACATAATGGAGTTAATACAATTTTTTTGAATGATCATTATTGACCAGAGGAGGAAATTTAACACTTTAATTTCTAAACTGATAAAACCAAACACTGCAAACCATCATGTGGTTAGAGTGGTCTATGTTTACTTCAAAGAAAAAATAAAAATAATTTGCTGAAGATTTTTACCTTTTGCCAAGAAATTAAAACATATTTTAACCTTCTCTAATAAACTCGTTTAATTAACAATATCAAAAAATGAATAGACAAACTCAAACAATAAGTTTCATTAGGTGTTGGTGTGCAAAAAATAAATCAAGCAAAAAAACTTTATAGTTTATGATGAATCGCATAATTAATAAAAATAATGTGTGGTGATTAGAGACCGATTAATCGATATTTATTTAGAAATCGTGAGATGCGGTCTGGTGTGATGTAGGTTTCAGAAAAACATTTTCTTTATCGTGCCAACGTTTCGATCTTTATTGAGATCATCTTCAGAGCCTGGGATTTACAAACGTAATTTACATATACCAATTACATTTTGGATGTGAAAAAGTGAATTTATACAATGCAAAATATATTGTGAGTAGAAATACTTTGATTGAATATATTAAAAAAATGTATATACACATTTTGCATTGTATAAATTCACTTTTCCACATCCAAAATGTAACTGTTATATGTAAACAATGTTTGTAAATCCCAGGCCCTGAAGTTGATCTCAATAAAGATCGAAACGTTGGCACGATAAAGAACATGTTTTTCTGAAACCTACACCACACCAGACCGCATCGCACGATTTCTAATTAAATAAAAATAATATGAAATTGAACACATTGGAACGGAGTTCGATTAATTCAATAATATTATATAAGCGAGGGTTCTGAACACCATAATTACACTTTTTATGTAAGGTCTAACGAAAAAGCTAGTGTAACGAGCGGTATTTGAACCCACGACCTTCGGCGTGGCTTCAATCCACCGGGGAACCAACTCCTCATCTCAAGTTACAACCTTTCGAATTTTTTCCTCTTTTTGCCATATTTTCAAATCGTGTAAAAGTAAATAGAGTAAGTAATTAAAAGTATAATTAATTAAAATACATAATAGTCAATTCTATATATTTTTTCACTTATATAAATGAATTACCAAAAATTATTTATTTTTATATCGGCTGCAGGGCCCGGAGGATGTTGAAATAAAAAAAGTTTATTTTTGCCGAAAGCTTGGCATATTCAACACAAAAACAAACAATATTTTTATAAACAAATTTATTTCTGTTTTGTTACAATAGAAAATGTCTTTTTCATTCGCATAAAATATTAGTTACACAAAAAATATCACAAAATTTCAATAAACTATCCATATGCTGTAATGGCAAAACATTAAAAATTCTGCTTAATATATATTTAACAATGGCAAAATGCTACAAGAAAGTAAAACATCTGGAGGAAAAATTGGTAACATATAAGTTTTTGATTATTTCACGTACAATGTGCGATCACGCAAAAAGTCACACTACACATAAATGGATTATATCAACATACAACGCTTTACACAAATTTGATCGAGTCACAAAATTTTAACTGCAGCTTTCAGATAATGTAAAATATAGCTCATCCCATTTCTATCACTTCATAAATTTTGAAAAATAGTTTTATTGTGGTCTTTTAGTGTTCAGTTAATGCGACCCTTACTGGTTTATGTTTACAATTAGGCACTCTCATGAAATCCATGTTTTTCTTCAACATAAGCTATTTTAGTTTTAATAACCAAGTCGCAACTATACCATTCACTATTAAAAGTTGAAATGTACAATTAAAAAAAAAAAGTTTTCAATTTAAGTATAAATAATTTTTTAAAAAATTTCTACATATAATTTTGTTTGGAAATTTAAAACATTTGAAATAATATGCCATACTTATATTTCTAATATTAAAATCATTGACACATTGAAAATTCTTTGTTTTTCTTTATCCGCTGTATATCGTAAATGACCTTCTCTACATAGCCCCAAAAGCTTCTTGTCAATTTGAATATCTAAAAAGTAAGGATGAATATAAGTACAATTTTGGTTAGGAAAAAGGCAAAATGTTTACCGACCTCTGTTAACCACACGTCATCGGCTAGAAGTTCATTGAGGAGAACTGTTGTGTCCTTATCAAAATCAATGGCCCTCTTTTCGTTCACTTTGTCCACGCAGACTGCATAAAGGGAAAATTTTTGGTGGCAGAGTCTGTGCAAAACCTCGAAGTATTGTATACAGGTCTGGCAAAGCGACGTTTCCTATTAAAGAGGGGAAATTTTTCATTTCATTATTAATAAACAAATGGAATTAAAAAAATCGTTAGCAAATTATAGCATAAATGTATAGGGGAAGGTGGTGGCTGAGTGGTTAGGGAGTCCAACTCATATCTGTGACGCTAGTGGTTCTGGGTTCGAATCCCGGCAGAACCCACAGCTATTTCATTGATAATAGTACACAAAAAGTATTGAGAACTTGTTTGACAACTCATCCACAACACCCCAGCGATTAGTTGGACCGTAAGCCCCCGGAGTTAAGGTTTTTTTAAAGGGTTTTTTCGGGGCAGAAGACAATTTTTTCCTTCATTGCGATCTAAATAACATCTATTGTGGAACTCCCCCATAGCTTATACCTTGGAATGTGTGTTATTCTTTATAAAACTGAGCTTTCCTGGGTGCCTCTTCGTGGATCTCGTTGGGCATGAAAAATGTGACTGTCCCATAAACAGACTAGCTTTACATTCGCAATATGTGAATGTGTGCCGACGTCTCTGGTTCCTTCTGACATAGCCGGCATTTTCCCAAGTTTACGTCTCAGCATTGTCCATCTCCTTAAAGTGATAGTTAAGAGGACATTGGCCAGTATAGAGTACTATAATTATCCTCAAATTCTGCCTGTTGAGAGAGAGAGGAGTTTTTTCGGCTTTTGCTTTGAGACATTTATAAATCTCGTAGCTCGCCCCGTATCTGGAGTGATTGCGTTTTTCTTTCTCAATCCATTTTTTCTGGTTCCAACTTAACTCACTAAGTACTCTCCCTCCGGCTTAGTTGTGGTTCTAGTCCCATAGGTGAAAGCGCTACCCCCTTTTTTGGCTATTTGGTCAGTGCCTTCATGTCCGAGCACCCACTTTAACGAAATAATTTAAAAGATTTTCATTTTTTCTTCTACATTTATTGAATTGATCATTTGAAATTAAGTCCTTGTCGGTGTTATAAAGCTAATAAAACTGTAGGTATCAAATGAAAAAAGCAACTTTTTTTTGGTCCCGCTGCAGGAACTAATCAATATTTTCTTTTGTTTCGAACTATAGTGTTCAAGATTAAATAATTTTATTTACGTTAGATGCAATGAATTAATTAATTATGATACAATTAATGATAAGTATAAATCCTTAGAGTTTATTGATATTCAATGAATTAACGAAACTCAGAAGGTCTTCTTTGTATTGGCAGATTAACCCGTCTTCATCCTTTGGCCAAATTTTTTCATTTAGTGATTTTTTAACTGTTGGAATTTTCAGAATTTCACTCAAATTTTGTTTCATAATAGTTAGTCTGGAGTTACATGATTTTGTATTAAAATTTTCCAACTGCAAATTCAGTTTTTCAAGTTGGAGAAGATTCATAGTTTCGGCTTCGGGGTTTCGTAGGTCATAATCATGTTAATAATGGTAAGGGTAAAGGAAGGATTCAAAAAAATTTTAACAAAAGGGATTTTTGAGTGAATATCTTATTTTTATTATAATGGTCCTGTGATTTCTTTTTCCCACCCCAATCGGATTACCTTTTTAATTTATGTGTGGTGATTAGTGGCCGTTAGTCAATGATTATTTGAAGATAGTGAGATGCGGTCTGGTGTGACGTAGGTTTTAGAAAAACATTTTCGTAATCGTGCCAACGTTTCGATCTTTATTGAGATCATCTTCAGAGCCTTGTGTTGTCTGCATTTCAACATAAAAGTTTCCTGATTGATAACCGATGCAAGGTTCTTTTCATTGTTGGCGATGACCTTCAGAGTACTCTTTGCTTGGTGTCCTTATGTAGTTGAAATCTGTTCATAGAATCCCCTGTTCTTCGATCTTCGTGTTGTGTTTATGTCCGTTAGTTAAAGATTATTTGGAGATCGTGAGATGAGGTCTGGTGTGACGTAGGTTTTAGAAAAACATTTTCTTTATCGTGCCAACGTTTCGGTCTTTTTTGAGATCATCTTCAGAGCCTTGTGTTGTCTGCATTTCAACAAAAAAGTTCCCTGATTGATAACCGATGCAAGGTTCTTTTCATTGATGGCGATGTCCTTCAGAATACTCTTTGCTTAGTGTCCTTATGTCGTTGAAATCTGTTCATAGAATCCCATGTTCTTCGTTCTTCTCGTGTAGAAATGTGTGATGTTTAGTGTCGGTTAGTTAATGATTATTTGAAGATGGTGAGATGCAGTCTGGTGGTTTTTTATTTGGATTTTGGAAAGACAACAAGCGAGTCTTGATATTGCATTGACCAAAAAAATTGGTGGTGGTACTCCATGAAAAATAGCAGGGATGAATGAATTCCTTCGCGTAAAAAATTTGGAAATAACCTGGTCGCGTTTGATAGTTGTTACGACGTACAGCAAAATCCCTAAGTGTTTGATTAAAATACATCCCAGACACAATGGGCAAATTGTGTTTTGTTAAAATTATTATGATTGGTTGCCATTTTCTGATAATAATGAATTCTAGAACTCCCATTCCTCATCTTTTTAGGAATAGAACGGTTCGATTTGTAACAACACTGATCACATGATTTAGGAGATTCATCCAAGAATTTTTCTGGCTTCTGGTTCAGGTTCAAAGCAAGGACATCCTCAGGACTTGACCGATCATTACTAGTATAGTAACCAAAGTTACATAAATACAATAACTCACCAAGGAGGGAACATTTTCATCAGTCGGACTCAGTGTTTCGGAGTGGTAGGTGGAGCCGCACAGCATGACTCCTGAGGCCCCACCGTGAATACCGCAAATGCATCTCGACGAGGATATCGGCCCTTGGACTATCTTATAACTCGGCAGCTTCGCCGCTGTCTCCGTGACGACGTTCGGCCAGGCCAACACCTTTTTCAGCCTCATAAGAAGTTCATTGGAAAACGTATCGATCACTTTCACATTGTCCAGGAAATATTCATCTGAAAATGTGAAATTTTCTCATTAGGGCCATTGTCAATAAGTCAAAAGTTAAAACGAGCCACACCGACCTTTTTCCTGAAATATTTCTGTCAAGAAATTTGAATCGAGAGCTTGTGAAAAGAGCGTCTGTATGTAAACTTCAAAATTATCTTGATATTTTGAATTCTCATTCATACTCTCTGCTATAATATCCCTGTAGAGAAATTTAAAATTATAAACTATTATGACTGAAAGTTGTCGTATTTGGATGGGGATTTAAATAAGCAGTTATGGAAAAATAAAAAACCTGCAAAAACATTTAATGTTTAAGGGATTTACCTTCCCGACGTTATGACATGTAACCCGGTCGATATCATCTGAACCACGGTCTCATGTTTTGTCTGAGATATAGTTTTGACTGACACTTTTTCATAAACGTTCTTACTTTCAGGACTCCAGCCAGTGAACTAAGAGAAAAATGAGAAATTACAATTCTACTATTGTTTATTAATCTACTAAAACACCGACGCTTACGCAAGGTAAATTTATGTAAAACAGCACACCATTTTTGACAAAGTGAGTGAATTTCTGAAGCATCGCCTTTTCTTTTACTCTCCAAATAGGAGGATTGGCCAAGATCATGTCAGTTTGCAAAACGACAAAATCACCGACCTAAAATTTAAAGATATGAAAACTAATGGCATTTTCATTCCTAACCCAAAATGAGAAAGCTCACGTTAAAAGGGAATTGGGCGTGAGATTTGGCAGATGCAGAAGGCATTGGAGAAACAACTGCATGCGGTTTTTTAATGATATTCTTGTCCACATATTTATCTGAAAAGAAAATACTTGTAAAAATAATAAAGCTGGTATTGTTTTTATTTATTTTTTATCTAAAAACCTGTATTACTATTAACAGGTTGGAAATTTTCTAATGTTTTCACTTTTTCCGGTTTGTGTTTAATTCGTGTTTTTTTCTTCGTGTGATTCCTTTTTCGTTTAGAGAGTATTATTTCATCTTCATCCTAAAAATAAAATACATAAACTATTAAAAAATATATGCAATTATAAAATTTAAATCTTGTGAAATGATGAAAATGTTTGTTCTGAGTTGTATTGGTCATTCCTATGAAAAGAAGATTAAAGAAAAACCCCATACAGAAGAATCTGGAGACCATGCAGGATCTAAATCTGAAAATTGAAGTTCATCGCCTTCGATTTCTTCATTGAGATTGCCGAGTTTGTCTTTAGCCTTTCTTTTTGCACATTCCCTTCTAGGCAGTGGGAAATCATCTCCTTTGTCTAAAATGTTTGTCATTTAATAAACGATTTGGATATAAATCCTTTTACTAATTAAAAAAAAAAAATATTCACTTCTCCTGTTCATTCTCTTTCTGCGTTTTTTCTTTTTAGTCTGTTTTGGATTTTTGTCTAATTTGTTAGTATCAACTTCCTCTTTATTTTCCCAGTGTTCTTTCACATTCTCTTGATTGTTGTTGTTGGTCTCGCAACGTGGGTTAAAACCCAATTCATTTTCACTCCATTCAGATTGGGAAGAATCGAAATTCCTTTCTTGCGACGTCCTAGGTAGAGGAAAATACCTCGGATCGTCTTGTGGATCAGCAGGAAAGTCACTTTGTTTTATACTCGGATTTGCCATGGATTTCGACAACACCCAAGTCGTTCTAGGGATAGGCCTTGGGTTGGGAGGTGGTGACGAGTCCTTGTCCCCTTGAAGAAACTTTACGTAGCTGGACATAAAGCTAGCTCTAGGATTTGGTGCTAATATCTTCCTTTCTTTCATGTTGTCCCAAGGGAAATTTTCTTCGGATAGAAAACTCAATTCTTCTTCAATGTTTGGGACTGATTTCGGCCGTGTCTTCTCCGTATCAGCTTCATCGTTCGGCTGTACTGATGGGACGTGGAAAGCAGGAAAATACGGTAATGGAGGTACAACGATCGACTGATGCTGGACCCCAGTAAAATTACTTAGTGTCGACTGTGAGGTGAATGTGACAGGTGAGTTTGAAAACATTTTCGGTGGAGGGATGTTCCACCTTTCGAACTCGTAATAACTGTTTTGGTTCTGGAGATTCCCATTGTGATGTGCTGGTGGTGGAACCCGGCCGTAATAGTCATCCGGCTTTTCTGAACTCTTTGTTCTTCTTTGTTTGTCTTCTAACACTTTCTCAGGCTGCTGCTGTTGCAAGGTTTTCACAAGGCTCATCGGATCACCTCGACAACTGCTCAAATCTTGAAGTGCCACTTGAGGGGCTGAATCCAAATACTGTTGCTTCTGCGGCACTTGCACATCGTAATTTAAAAATTTTCTTTGCCTTTCATCCCAATGTTTGTTATAGTCTGGTCTCTCGAATCTGAAAAGTACAAGCGTCAACTCCAACAAATAACCTATGTAGGGAGATATGATTTGTCACCTGTTATCTGGAAAATTCTTATCACTCCTCGTAATTACAGAGTGGTAATTAGTGACATTTCGTGGAAGACTAGCATCAATCGGCGGAGAGACTTCAGTTTTGTTGTAGCAAATGTCATGTTGCACAGGGCTCGGGGACGATATGGATGTCATAGGAGAATTGTATAGAGGATAAACCGGGCTCTGGGTTACTTGTATGGGTGACTGTTGGTGAAGAGGGCTAGGGCGTTTAACCGCAGCACAATCAGCAGTTGCTGAATTTGAGCTAAAGACATCTGAAGCTTTGTTCCGGTAGTCATCAGCTGAACTGAATCTATAAAAGTTAAAAGAATACCTAAACATTCTTTACATGGTTGCACAAAACTTGTTTGTAATCACGGTAAAATTAATTTAAAATCAAATTTAAAAACTTGCGTATCGATTTAATTAATAAGAGCTTAAACAATTTGCTTTAAAATTTATTAATTGTTAATAGATATTTTAAACATGGAATTGAGAAATAAATGAAATGGTGGTTGAGTTCCCTGTGTAGTACCTGTAATGTTGTTGATTTAAGTGATACTGTTGGGTTCTCAGTTTGTGGAAATTGCGATGACCATCCATCATAGCGAAGCTGATAGGTGAAGACTGGATTTCATTTTCTCTTCTTTCTGATTGATCCATTTGGTGGAGGGGTTTTGTAGGTGGTGTAAACTCTCTCGCCTTTTCTGTCCTCTGTGTGAACTGTCTTGGAGGTTGAGGAATCCTGTATTCTTTCGGTGGCATTGAGCCAGCACAAGACTGCTGCAAGTGACCATTTTGAAACTTTGGATAATCTACCGGTTTAAAGTTAGATTCTGAGTAGAAAGAGTTTGTCTTTGTCGGCGAAGGAGGGCACTTTTTCGGATCGTATGGTGAATTTTTATAATCTAATTGTGTATTGAAAGGTTGTGAGAAGTGGTTGAAATTTTCGTAAGGTTTCGCACTGTTTGGCACACTCTCATGGGGCAATATGCCAAAGGGACTGGGCAGCTGGTTGTTTTGAGGCCATCCGATGGAAGAATTATTCTGATCGAACATATTGCCAGTAGGTGCCACATTATAAGCTTCAGTCTGCTTAAGCGGCCTGTAATGCGCTTTTTGGTGGAAAAGAGGGGTGAAAACTGCTTCATACGGAACAGGTGGTGGTGAAAGGAACCCGTTATGGTTAAAAGGCGATGCGGTATTGGCAAAGCTTGAATTGGCATGTGCTTGAAACAGTAACTGTGAAGTCGTGGAAGATGCTTGAACCGGCCCTCCACCGGTGCCAAGATGGTGCAATTCACTTTGACCATTCTGGAAGCCACCGCTGGTCAACCTGTTGTACGAAGCAGCATACGCAGACCAAGGGCCGACCGGATCCATTTTAATATAACCATCAATCTGGTACCCGGCACATTCTGAGGTTTATGTCCTGCAAAAAAAAGAAAAAAAAGATTTTTATATATATTTGTATATATATACATACACACATTTTATATTTACATATATTTGTAAATTTTATATACATTTGTATGTATATTCTCTCTATTCAAAAATGTTACTTAATCCAACACAGAGTTGTTTAAATTTATGTTAAAACAGAGCCTGCACAGCGAATTTATGCTTATGGAAAATTTAAACTGTGCAGTTTAATATAATATAAAACAAGACACTTAAATAGTATGCTCAACATTTTTCATGTGACCCATGACCCCTTGACTAGTGATAATAATCACCTACTCACACAGATGTCCCACTTGAAGAGAGAAGGTTGCTGAGGGCAACCAAAGCAGTTATTGTTACAATATTAATTTGTTGCTTATATCCTTGTTTTTTTATTTTAAAAAAAAATTATAAAATTCAGTTTTATATTTGGGGTGTATGGGTCAGGCTTGTAGAGAAAGGTTGTTCAGTGTGTCACTTGGTCGAAGAGTGCCACGCCTTGGCCCTTTTCAGAGAGCGCGTAGGCATGGCACCCAACATAAAGGCAGCCTTGTTCGAGAGAGTGGGTTGTTGGGTCCCCTGTTCTGATTTTTAAGAAAAATGGGGGTGTTTCCCCATTGGTAAATATTATGTATATAATTATTGTGTAGCTCTACAGTGTGTACGTATGTTTGATTGTGTGAATGGATAAGTAAGAGGGCTGATGCTGTGATGATGCTTTCACAGTGGATGGTGGGGTTGGCATGACTCATCTGTTGGTAGCCCGCCATTAATTAAAAAAAAGAATAATAAAAAAAAAAAAAGAATCATTCATAATATCAAAAGCTACAACATTTCTGACCCAACAGATATAATTTTAACAAAATTATATTATCACATACACACTTCTACTCATATTGTTTCTTATATGCATACCATTTACTCTTTTACTTATATTTTTAATATTTGTCAACACCTGAAGATTGCAAACTGGCCTTATACGGCCTAAATTGTCTATTTAAAAATGTTGCACATTGCAATCTACACCTCATCTTGAAGAGTGGATGCAATAGTCAACATACTTAAAAAGGCCATGCCATCTTGGCAGATTCTGTAACAAATGGAAGATTAAAATAAATCCCACAAAATCGGAGACCATGCTAGTTACTAAGCGAAGGGTGGTGTCATAAACATGTCAAATTTGGGTCAGGTTATAGTCTACTACTGTAATCCCATTGGGTAATATTTGACAGTAAGCTCACTTTCGCCACCCATATAAAGAATAGAATGAATTTATAAAGCTGCAATTTTTGTCTTTTTTTCTTAATGCGCAAACTGTCCCCAGTAAACAAACTTCTATAAAGTAGTAGTCAGACTAATGCTCTTGTCTGTTTGCTCCTCATGGGGTTTGACATCCTCGATTGAACATAGCCTCCCTACAAATTATGCAAATAGGTTTTTACAGCTGGTGATCTCATTACCTCTCTACACTTGCATTCTTGACTTGCACACTAACACATGATTACATTATTACACCACATAAAACGCCTCTCAAAGAATTTCTTTGAATGGTGTAGGTTAAGCAGTAATCAGTTCAACATATTAGGTATTATTTGACACTGTGTAAATGCGTAGGAAAGCGTTTTTTCCTTAAATTTACTTTTTTTTTACATACACTAAAAAAATTCTGAAACAGGAGGTTAGGGATGGTTAGGTTATAATAGCTTATAATAGATGGTTATAATAGCAGGATGGTGGAGAACCGGTATTCCTCCATCACTCTAAAGGCAAATGCTTGGTAGTTTTATCATAAGATTTAGTTTCAGTCATTCTCAGTAGGTTGTATAAGTAGTACAACCTTCTGGCGTGTTGTACTTTCCTAGTTCATTAGTTCAGTCTGTCGAATCGATCATTCTCCTAATTAGTACTACGTCATTGCTACACATTACACTTTATGATGATGGATACTAGGAAGTAGGGGTTTTTGTTTCCCAAGCAAATCAGCCTTCTGGTATATTGTCCTTTGTTAGATTCTCAGTTCAGTGTAATTGACTCAATCCTTCTCTTAAGAAGTACTATATCATTGACGATACACTATATGATGATGGTGATGGATCCAACCTTCTGGCATGTTGTACTTTCCTAGTTCATTACTTCACTCTGTCGATTTGATCCATCTCTTAAAACGTACTAGGTAATTGATTATCGTTGTTGCACATTACACCCTATGATGATGATGCATACCAGGCAGTGGGTTTTTTCCCCCAAGCAATGCAGCCCTCTGGCTTATTGTACTACCAAGTTCCTCACTTCACTGTAATCGACATAATTCTTCTAAGAACTACTGGTCATTGAATGTCATCATTACACATTACACTTTATGATGTTGATGATGCATACTAGGGAGTGGGTTTTTCCCCAAGCAATGCAGCCTTATGGCTTATTGTTCTTCCAAGTTCCTCAGTTCACTGTAATCGACATAATTCTTCTCCAAAGGACTACTGGTCATTAACTGTCGTTGCTACACATTACATTCTATGATGATGATGATTTATACTAGGAAGTGGGGATTTTTGTTCACAAGTACTACAACCTTCTGGCATGTTGTACTTTTCTAGTTCGTTACTTCTGTCTGTCAATTCGATCATTCTCTTAAGAAGTACTAGGTCATTGACTGTCAATGTTGCTATTACACTCTATGTTGATGATGATGCATACTAGGAAGTGGGGTATTCCCCTGCAGTCTGACTTAATGTACTTTTCTAGTTCCTCAGTTCAGTGCAATCGACTCGATTCTTTTAAGAAGTATTAGATCTTGATTGTTGTTGCTACACATTTCACTAACATTACACACTTTCACTACATTATCTCTCAAAATCTACAACAGAACACAAACCATCTTCTCTATGTTTTTAATTTACCTTTTGTTGGAATTGTAGATAAAATGAAATATAAGGAATATATTGTGGTTCTTTAAAGGAAGGGTGACAGGTAAGCTAGAAAATAAATAAAATAACTTCAAACCAATTTTCATACCAATAGTTCTATTTCATGAAAGGGTTAGGTAAAAAAAAGTTTATGACCAAATATTTAATAAACATAACGTATCAAACAGAAAATCTTTGTTCAAGGAAGATATTTCGAGAAGGTTGTTGTATTGATAGGAAAATGAAAACCTGATAAGGTGATGATATGTGGAAAGAGAAAAGTGGAAGCAAGCCGGGCGCGATCCACTCACCTTGGCGATGAACCCAGCCCGCTCTGCCATTTCCACAGTTTTAAGGGGATTTTCTTTTTTTTGAAAACGAGGCCGGCCATCGACGAAAAACGGGACGAGACGCCGATCTCTTCTCTGTTTTGACGTTTGATTATCAAAACAACAACCAGAGGATCGAAACTCCGACAGCGCCTCCCGCGCATTTTTGAAACGAGGTTTCTCGGCTCTCACTTTGATTTCTCCAGTCCTGCTTCGAAGTTTCAGCTGCCTTCGGCCACATTGGAAAACGATTTTAACTTGTGGAAGGAACCATTGATGAACTAATTGCCCGAGTGCGAAAATACTCGAATCTATTCTTTATAAACATATTTCTATTTGTCCCTGAGATTATTATCTCCCAACACCTTGGTTTTGTAAAAAAATAAGCTAGTATCCATCAATCTTTATGACGTTTGAATCAGAAACGCACCATCTATTATACATTTAGGCTACGGTTACTTTTTATTTTGTTCTGACGAGTAAGTTCGAAATCCTCGTCAGGACAAGGTGTTACATTGCGCGCATTTTCTGATAGTCAGTACGCTTCTGTATCACAGCAAAATGTACAAACTTAATGAGTTTTATTTTTTTTGAAAGTCAGTTGATTAAGTTATTGTTGATAGGTGGTGGGAAAACATGATAATCACTTATTTTCCACAAGAGAGTTTCAAACGTATTGCTAGTCCCTTAAAAAAAAGCATATTAATCCGTGTATGTTTAGCGGTCAATATTTATCATATTAAATAAAATGAAATTTGAAAAATGGCAAAAAGAGAGAAAATTCGAACGGTTGTAGGTTGAGATGAGTTGGTGACCGAGGGGATTGAAGTCACGATAGCTCAAATAGTTAGAGCAGCGGCGTATTGAGCCGAAGGTCATGGGTTCGAATCCCGCTCATGACACTAATTTTTCGTCTCAACCAAAATTCTTAGGATGTTGATTGGGATTCGGGTTGTGGTCTTCAAACATACAATGTTATTATATCAACGCCCAAGCTTTCGACAAGTTTTATTGCCTTCTTCAGGGGATCTACAGAGACATAGGGACATAATAATTTAGACAGTTATAAAATATCAGTTTTATTTATTTATTTATTTATTATATATGTATATAGTTTGTTTGTATACATATCGTGGAATGTGCAATGTGTTTACGATTTGACTTTGTATCTGTAAGTAACAAAAAACTGATATTTTATAACTATTTATACAATTTATAACTGTCTAAATGATTATGTCCCTATGTCTCTGTAGATCCCCTGAAGAAGGCAATAAAACTTGTCGAAAGCTTGGTCGTTGATATAATAACATTGTATGTTTGAAGACCACAACACGAATCCCAATCAATATCGTATGAAGGCTGATTGATCGCACAACAAACAAAAATCTTAGATAAAAAGAATTATTAATATGGTCGATTATGACCACTAACAAAATATGGCTTATTGCTAGTGTTGATTTCTTGAGAGACTTTCTCCCGCCGAGAAATATCTCTGTTGTGATATTTTTTGTAGTTCATGTCCCACAAACACCAATTCTCAAAAACAAGACTAAACAGTTTATCTATATACACGGTGAACTACCAAAAGTGCCTAAATTGAACGTCAGAACGCATGAAAAAATCAAACTTGTTTGAACGCTGGAATGGTTCTGACGACATCGTGCGTGTTCTAACATACACTTCGCTGCCAAAGTGAATTTAGAGACTTTTTGTTATTTAACTATGGATATTGACAGTTATATAATTGAGTCTTGAGTTACTCTTGTGTTTGTCAATCGATGTTTCCGGCATGAAAGAAAAAACTATCCACTGTAACCACAGCCTTATGGATCTAGAAGGCAAGAAGGTATGAGGGCAAGGCTGTTCTGCCCTGGCACCCATTTGCTACTATTTGTTCCTATTAGGAGAATAATAACACATTTATACAGGCAATAGCACATTTTATTGCAATAATTACAAGAAAGAGAAAGTGCATGTAAAACATTGAAACATTAAACGGGTAGAAACATTTCTATTTTCGACCCTTCTGTTGAGAACGGCACGATCTGTTGGTACACGTATGGATCTAGAAGGTGTGAGGGCAAGGCTGTTCTGTCCTGGCACCCATTTGCCACTATTTGCTTCTATTCGGAGAATAATAACATATTTATAAACGGGCAATAGTGCATTTTATTGCAATAATTACAAGAAAGAGGAAGAGCATTTAAAGCATGAAAAACATTGAAACATTAAACGAGTAAAAACTATTCTATTTTTGATGAGAATGTCACGATCTGTTGGTACACTTATGGATCTAGAAGGCAGGAAGGTATGAGGGCTGTTCTGCCCTGGCACCCGGGGGAAAGAGCACCAGTGTCTACCTGGCTCAAGGCCATGCAATTGACGTATGTAATATTTCTTCTCTTTATTAATATTTGAAATCCTTTATTTGATATTAAATTTCTATGATGATGACCTTGAACTATTGAAGGTAATTGAATCGAGATCAAGTCATACTTCAGGTTAACCTTACGTACACATGATGCTCTTTGAAGGATCTTTCCCTTAATAACTCAAAGTGCTGACATATAGCCCACTCACAAGAAAAGTGACCCAAGTTGAGAAATTATAAAAACCAAATTATTTAATGTTTTTTTAAGTATTCGGGTGTGTGATGATACCAGAAAAATGACACAATTGTTGGACTCTTAACTACTTGGCACACCATTTTTGAAGCGGAGGAAATGCCCTGTCTCCATTCTCGAAAATATTTATGTCAGACAGAAATTGTGGCTAGAATAAACCGTAAAGAATTTATGTCCGATATATTTTTCAACCACTAGCTAGTTGTGTGGACACTACTATATCAATAGATGTAAACACCGGTTAGTTGTAAGTTCAAACTTGTTCGACACTTGTGGCAAAAGTTAGCTATTCGTCTACTCACAAGTTTGGGTCAAAAATAATCTTAGTAAAACTTACTACATCGATATATATACTTATTTATTAGGTTTGTATATTGTCTGTTACTATCACAAAACAATTAATACACTTCCAGATTCATTGACCGCCATTATTTTTACGACAAATAAACCAACTTAAATTACTGAGAGCCAAAATATGCAAGAGAAGTGTCGTAACACAAAAAGGGGTAGTTTGTAAGGGTAGACTGATGGGTTTTTGAAGTTTTGTGTTTTCATTTGTCTTGGAGAAACAAAAAAATAATATTCATGGATCATTTACCAAGAAAGACAAAGAACATTTAAAACATGAAAAATATTGTAATATTAAGCATTGACAATAAAGAAAAAATAAAAATAATTACATGCAGTATAATTTAGACTTCAATATTTTAATACAAAAGTAATATTTGGGATTTGACTAGCAAATAAAAACAATTGTAAACAAAAAATTATACATACATATATATTCACAACAATCAACGAGCACGTCTGGAATATATACACATATACACGCATTTGATTTGGCAATTTTAATTTGCTTTTATCTAAATGTTCCGGATTTCTATGAAACCATATTGTTGATTTCATAGTTATTTGCATGGTAGACAGCTTCAAGTAAAAATTAATAATTCTTTGTCTAAACTTATCGATGCAAAATCTGGAGTGCCCCAGGGTTCTATTTAGGCCGTTTATTATTTCTTACATTTATTAATTATGTTGCTCACTTTCTCTCTTAATATAAACTTCTTGCTGACGATGTCAAGCTGTACCATGTAATTAATAATGATAATGACACAAAAATACTCCAAATCGCTTTTTCTAATTTTATTGACTGGTGCGTAAAAATGGACTTAAACTTAATTTTAATTAATGCTTTGCAATGACATTTTTTAGACGTAATGAAAAAGTTAATTCATCCTACAAATTGCAACTACAAACTGTGACCACATTTAAGGATATTGGTGTAATATTTTCTCACGGCCTATAATTTTCCCAGCGTGTAACCACTATTACTAATGAGGCTAATCAATTGTTAGGATTCGTTATTTGCTCTACTCAACACTTTAGAAACATACTTACAATAAAAAATTTATTTTGCTCCATTATTTGTAGTCATTAGCATGCTAGTCCTATCAAAAGTAACTTTGTACCAAACTTAAAAGAGTTCAAACTAAATTATTAAGTTATGCTACTTTTAAATTAAAAATCCCTTTCAGGATATTTCTTTGATTTATTTCTCCTCTCTAGCCTTATCAATAGCAAAATTAATAGTTCTCAATTGTCAATTATTGGTTCAATTATCCAATGCCAATGGATGGAATTGATAAATACACCATCCTGACTGCTGGTATGGGGTCTCCCTAAGGCACGGCGGGGAGGTGGAGAGATTTAAAAAAAAAACCACTACCTATCCGAACATCGACAGTGTAAATCTGTTTTTGTAAAGTCTGTACAAGAGATATCTGTCAGATACCAGCAATTCTTGTTCTGTGTATACTCGTCTGGTAATGGGGTTGAACAATCTAATGTACATTGATAGTGTTGACTGACCTTTATTCATTTTAGATGGATTTGAACAAAATTCATGCAGTAGAATTTGACAAAATATATACAAATTTGTCTATAATTGATACAAAACAAATCAAACAGTTATAATAAATTAAAGAAAATAGATTGAAATAAATTTGATTTACAAATATTTACATACAATTATAAAATTATTTTACAATTTTTTTCAGATGTTTTAACTCATGAGATAACCAAATTGCACAAGACAACAAGGCAAGTGAGCCTGTCTGATGGAGAGAAGCCAGTGAAATTGGTACATAGTGGAGCAATGTCGTAATCCCGAGGGTCACCTGAAACATGAGTTTGAATCCGTAATGATGACATTTTGAAATTGGATCGCCCTTCAGTCAAGGTAAGTTGATAAATTTTGTTTAAACAATTTTTATCACCTGTAACCATCCCATGGCCATCAAAGCATTGGCGGCTCTATGAGCTCTTTTCGGTAGTTGCCTTCTCCGTGACAGTAACCAGAGACCGGAGATCAAAGACAATGTTGTGATACCCTACAAGTTTGTCAGTGTAATTACTCAGTTATTCTTGTGGTTAATATTTAACCTACAAGCACTCTATGATCGAATTGAACAGTGGATGGGTTTTCTGTGAAGTTAGTCATCACTGGCTCGTATACTAGAATCTCTTTTGGCACCCAGTTGTCCCCCATTTTTGGAAACGAGTTGTAAACCAAGCCGGCATCTAATCCAGCGACAAACACTCCTAAACATAAGGCATGACATTTAGGTTGTAAACTTAAGGTTATTCTTTCTGGACTTACCAGAGATGGCAGTTAAAAATACAAATGCTTTGCAAGAATGTGTTAATATCTTCAAACTCTTGAAACCAGAAGGAATGACTGCAGGTTTTACAGCTGGCAGGATGAGATCAAGAGCAGACCAAAGAAAGCCGGTGTATAAGACGAAAGCGAGACCGAGATGTGTAGCCAGCCTGTACTGAGACACTCTCACAATTTCTGAAGGGTGTTTAAATTTTTCATCGTCTAATCCAGACTTGACCATGTACCATCCCATCAAGCCCTGGAATTGAAAAGAAATTTAACAATCAAATTTTAAAAAAATAATATGTTTAATAACCTGAGCTCCGATCAAACTTCCGAATACGAGAACTCGTTTCTTCAACGGCGGTGTAAGCCAGCCTTTTGCCCAAAAAAACATTGCCGGGACTGCGAAAAATGCACCGATTGCTCTCCCCCAAGACCTGTGGGTGAATTCCAACCACCAAATTCTTTTGAACTCTTCTAACGTCATTGAAGACTTCTGCCTATAAAATATAATTGAAATGGCTTGCCCTCAGTGATATCAATCCAAAAGCAAGACAAGTACAGTTTGTATTCTGGAAACTGCTGATATCTTTGAAATTCTTCTTCCCACTCTTCATTAGTTGTTGGCATTTTTTCACCAAGCAATTTCCAAGTGACTATCGACAAGCCGGATTCGGTCAACCTTGTCAGTCCTCCTGAAGATAAAAACCAGTCAACCAATTTCAAAGGGCGAATGGTTATTTTTTTGTAAAAGGTGAGTAAGAGAAAATCCCGGCCTTTACGTAATTTAAATAATACGTAAAAATCAACCTAGAACAACTGCTCCAAAGACCATTCCGCTGCATCCGAGGAGCCACGTGCCTACAATTTTTTGTCCCCTTACATTTGTAGGCGCAAAGTTGCTCACGGCCGTCTCCGTCTTTCTTACAGTATTCTAAACGTATTTCTTTTTAAAACACGACACAATTTGAAAAATTCGAGAAGGAATTTATTTAAATACCTGGAAGATGGTGGTCCGCTTTGGCACAAGGCTATTTGCTTTTGTAAACAGAGAAAACCGGCTGGATTGCTGGAATAAATTTTGAATTGTTTTAGAGCATTTTTCGATTCAAATTTTATATTCACCATCGAAAGGTTGTTTCGGAATGTCAAATTCCTGGTGCAAAGGCCGGGGAAAATTCTCAACATGGTTTTCAAATAAAATAAGCAGATTTTCCAAACGACACGTCAACCCCGCTATAACCTCCTCGGTTGGCAGAGTGCATTGGGGCTTGGGCACTGGCGCCGCGTCGCGTCTCCAAACACCCGCCAGGGATTTGAAACAGGCCAACTTAAATAAAAGTCACTCACGGTTAAAAAATTTATTACACGATTTACGGATTCATATCTACCAGTACAAGAGCGTGTCCAGCACGTAGCGTGGCAGACACGGCACAGGCACTAGTATTCATATTTCATACTAGCGGTAATCGCAGCAACAGTCACCTCCAGACCAACAAACTATTCTTCAGAAAACCAATGGACAGGATTCTTTCCACGTCCATGTATTACAAATTACGTACATTTCATCACATATAATATATAATATTCTTATAATATTATTATTATGTTGATTGGGATTCGGGTTGTGGTCTTCAAACATACAATGTTATTATATCAACGCCCAAGCTTTCGACAAGTTTTATTGCCTTCTTCAGGGGATCTACAGAGACATAGGGACATAATCATTTAGACAGTTATAAATTGTATAAATAGTTATAAAATATCAGTTTTTTGTTACTTACAGATACAAAGTTAAATCGTAAACACATTGCACATTACACGATATGTATACAAACAAACTATATACATATATAATAAATAAATAAAAAGATCATCAAAAGATCGTAACAATACTTGCGTACAGATTTATTTATTTATTTATCTATTTATTTATTTATATATTATAACAGGCTGTGATAACATAGAATTACCAATGTATTAGAAATTAAGATCTTGTTTTTAAAAATTGTGGGAAATGATTGTTATCATTAGGTGATAGTGTGGGGAACCTCCCACCTGATAACGTGATAAACACAATTTTCTAGTCAAACGCCTGTGATATTTATGTACCAAAAGAATATTATTTATTAAGTAATTGTTACTGGTTTTAAAAAATGCCTATATATGTAAGAGGCTGTTAAGAAGAGGTTTTTATTTATTTATTTATTATATATGTATATAGTTTGTTTGTATACATATCGTGGAATGTGCAATGTGTTTACGATTTGACTTTGTATCTGTAAGTAACAAAAAACTGATATTTTATAACTATTTATACAATTTATAACTGTCTAAATGATTATGTCCCTATGTCTCTGTAGATCCCCTGAAGAAGGCAATAAAACTTGTCGAAAGCTTGGGCGTTGATATAATAACATTGTATGTTTGAAGACCACAACTCGAATCCCAATCAACATCGTATGAAGGCTGGTTGATCGCACAACAAACAATATTATTATTATTTATATTCTTATTGTTGGGTATTCAGCGACCTCGTCCGATTGTGGAAGGTAATCTTTTTCCCAAATGTGTTGGCAGATCTATTTTACGACACTTTGCCACTCAAATCACTCACCTGATTAGATCTAGAGCTTCAGTATATTAAAAATCCTTAAGATAACGTTAATAGGCAATAACATGCAAAAAAAATATTATATAATAGAAATAACGAATATATTATAAGAAACAGTTACGGCAAAGGTAAACAAAGTTAGTTTCTTATTGTAATAATAATAATACTATCAAATAAAATTATAGTATTAGTTTTAAATTAAAAAATTAATTAAACAGAGAAATACCGGAAGAGCTCTTCAATGAATTTAGAAAAGAAAGAAAAAAAACTAAGTTAGAATGAAGATACAAAAAAATCATATATATTTAAATTAAACTATAAGTTCACTTGTGAGTACTCTTGATGTATAGATGTGACGTGGCGTTGCGGTTGTGCGGGAAAGATTATGAAGTCGGGTCCACTTCTGCTGCGGTGCGGGAAGATGTCAGGCGTGCGCTCGTTGTGAATCAAGACATAGAACACAACTGATTGTAGTGCGGCGGACGAATAATAATAATAACGCCCGTATTGTTGAACAATACAGAACGTTGAACTATCGATTTACAACACAAAATAACTTATACAAAATGACTGCCTGAAACATCTAAATTTAAGAAACAGAGCGTATGCTGTCTTCTTGGCGGTTGAGACGCGACAGGTCCAGTTGACTGGACTTGACAAAAAAAAGAAGGGGCGTTTCCATGGTAATGAAAAATACAAAACAATTCACCGTAGCAACGGTTACGTGTAAACACTGTGTTCATGGCAACCGAAAGCATAACATTTGGTTCCCACAGCAACGGGAGGCGTAAACATTCGTTCCCCGTGGCAACGAGACCAAACAAACTAACTTAAATTAAAACAAAAATAAAATTTAAATTCAGGCATAAACACTTATATATTATTATTATACAGATTTTGTAAAATAAAATTTAAAAAAAAAATCTTGAATATGTACTGATCGGCGATTCGGATTTTAGCCCGAATTCAGATTAGCGCAAGTTCGGTTTACCAAGACTGGACATTATAATTAAAATTATAATGCAATTTATTATAGGTAGGCACCTAAAGCGGCCCATAGACGGTCAATATTATTGTACAATATAGATTGCACAATAATTTGACGGTTGCTCCTTAACGTTCAGTAATATTGTTCAAAATTTTGTTTGTGCAATGAACTGTACCACTTGTTGATATTTCACAAACTGACTGATATTGCGCAATAATGCCAACAGACGGTGCAATATTGTCTAGGTTGTACAATATATTTTCAACTTTTCGTCAATCATGCAATGTATTGCACAAACTTTCAATATCGTCTACACACGATCAATTAAATTGCACAACCCAAAATATTGTGCAATAATATTGATCGTCTATGGGCCGCTTAAGCTATTGGAATTGCACAAATCTTGTCTGTCATCTATTCGTACTAACCGTATTGAACCGCACAGACAAGAAAAGACAACCGGAGACACGTGCCAGCACAAGCAAAACATTCTCGGCGACAATGCTGCCCGATGCTGGTACGTGTCTGCACTGACACGCTCCGCAAATGTTCGCTAAGTATGAACGTTCTTATATGTTTTGTATGTAATGATGTTTTTTGTGTCTGCCACGCTACGTGTTGGACACGCTCTGTGCTGGTAGATATGAATCGACCTTTATCGTTCGATTAACGTCTCGATATATAAATTAATGACGTAATTAACGAATTGTACGTATTTGTCTACAAATTTGTGCAGTTCGCTTGATCTTATTGAAAGTCTTGAGAACTAGATGACGGTTTGAAGTGCGATATTTGCTTTTCAAAATGATTAAAACGAAGAATTAGTTATAAAATAATTAAGGTTTAGTGACCGTGCTTCTGAGAATGGTCGGTGTTATGGGTCTGCGGATGGTTGAAGTCCGTGAACTGATGCCGATGGATCTAGCTGTCGGTAGACTAGGAACTAGAGCTAAGAGACTAGTACAGCAGGCATCCAGGTGCTGAGAGACTAGACGTACGAGTAATTTGTTGCTGTAGCTAATAGCTTGGTCATTAACGAGAGTTGAGTCTTCGTCAGAAATAGGTAGGTTGAGCCTCTGCTTATACGGGGAGATAGTACGAATTTTTTTTTGGAGATAGTACACTCTATTTGCAACAACTTCCAACATATAGTCCCTATATCTATTTTCAATCCCTGACGAGTTACGGCCCTAAGAAGAGCCGGGCTGTTTTATAGCGTTGAGACGATGAATCGAGGCCAGGACAGTGCGCGTGTGTGTGTGCCGTTGGTAGTGTGTGCCTTGAACCGTTTGCTGAGGTCCTCGGGTCGTGAGTCGGTTGACTCTGTAGCGGTTGAAGGGATTCTGGTGCAGCAAGTATCAGAGTGCAGCAGCTCGCCAGTTGCCAAGTCGGCTGTGCCGAGAAGGCTAGTTCGAGGATAATGCTGTGAGTACCCTTGCTGTCGTTGTCGTTGCTTCAGTTATTGGCGAGAGACCTCGTTGGGGAGGGGGAGACGGGTGTGAAGTCAGTGGCCCTTAGTTATGTACGAAATGGCTCTACTCTGATGGCTACAGAGTGGAGAGCGAGACCATTCCCCAGAACTGATGGTGACACCTAGCGGGTCGTGCATATTGCGGGTGGCCACCACAAGGGCAACCAGAGGTCTCGTTCGCGAAGGTAGTGGTCGATCACGATGCACTACGAATAGAGACGAACGTTTTATTGATCTTAACGCACTACAGCATCGTCTTGAAAGGTAGTCAACTTCAAGCGGCTGTAATTTAAGGGTGATCTCTATAAAAGTTACCAGAAGGCTGGTGAGAACCTAGTCTCCAGACCTCCCGCATTAGGTTCTCTACTAGCCATCATAACTCAATAAATTTGATCAAAACTCCCGAATTTCTGATCTCATTTAATTTTTTTTATATTAAAATAACTATGTTGTAATTAATATAACGATAAAAATACATATAGTTTGAAATAAACAGCAAAATACAAGTGCCCAGTGTTTTGTCTTCGAGTTATATAACAATATAACGTTTCTATTGATTTTTTCCCCAACAAGACCAAAATGCAATAATAGTAACAAAGAAAATATGGATTCAATAAAAGAAAATTATAATGGCACGTTTTTTCTCCCTTTCTCAGTTTTCATTTCATCTTCACATTTTGGATTTACATAACTACCTGTTATTGCGAGACGTTTCCAATTTCTAGATAAATAACATGGTGCAGGGAAAAAGTTTTTTTTTTTTTAATTCGTCTCGTGTTTCATTTTCCACTTGACAACAAGGGACCGGATTTATATGTATTCACATTTTTTTTCTGAACTTCTTACACTGTTTTCGAATATTTTCCTTTCACGTTTTACGCTATTTACAAGCAAATAAACCGAATTTTGTTGTAGATATTTTTAAATATTTGGCGAATTATACATATAATTACATAGGTTAGCTTAATTGGCATATTTTGGACCATATTTAATAAAATAATTGAAAATAAAAAAAGTAAGTTTTTCATAGAACTTAAAGATTAGAGAGATTTAAACAAAAAATTTCGAGAAAAAGGGAACGGGAATATCTTTTATCATAGATTAATACACGTAACATGTCTCGCCCACGTATTTCATAGAATAACTGAGCATAACATACGAAATGAATTTTTAGATGTGGATACTTTAAATAAGATAAATGTATGTTTTTCTTAAAACCCCGAGTACAGTGTTTTATCGCTTCCACCACAACCCGTCGTTATGAGATGGAGGACTTAGATAGTAAACGTCTTATTGAATGGTGAAAGTATTTTCGAAAATGAAAGAGTCGCAAAACTCGAAGAAAGCACTGCAGCTCTAGAAAAGGCAAAATATATTACGGAAATACTTACTCAAGCAAAATTTAGCTTTTATTGCATCTAACGTTTTGTTTTGATGTGGGAAAACGAAAAAAAAAAAAAATCCTCTCATTCCGTAGAAAACTATTTTATCACCGGATTGACGTATTTTACTTTTGACAATTTAAAAATGTGCATTATTTTATATCGTTTTGGAGATTAAAGATATAAATTTTTATTTTATCATTTTTCACATTTTTCAAATACATAATTACACTTGTAAAGTAACCATTTCAAAAAATGTGTTTTTATTGTATAGATTTTTTTAGGATTATCAAGATGCATTTTTGTTTATGAAATTTTAAAAATGGAAGTTATTTCAAATTCAAATTCATTATTTAACTAATACGTTTAAATTATAAAATTCTTTTAAAAATGCATAGCTAAATGGTTTTTATATTACATACTTTTCTTTCTTCCCTGCATATGAAAAATAAATAATAAACACATAAGTACATATTTTATTTCATATATAAATCTGGACCATATTGATAATAATGAAAGAAACAAACTATGTATCACATAGTTTATCATCTGCTATTCTGGTCAAATATTATGTCTTTGTTAACAAACTATAAAAAATTCGCAGAATTGGGGGTCTTTTTAACGTGATAACATTTGTAATATTTATTTACAACTTCAATAGATTTAATAATAGTTTTCAACAGAAGCAGACATCATTTTACCAAAAACAACAAGGAAACTTGGCTTAATGAACAGTCGAAATGAAATTATTGAGTGTTGTCTTAAATGTTTCGATCGAATCGGGGAAAAAAACATGGTTCATCCGAAAACCGATCGAGTAACACGTCATCCTCGGCATCGGATATGCAGTCCGTAATCTAGTTCATGATGCGGGAGACTCATAGTGGACATAAGTCTCTGTGTACAATGCGTCTTGAAATTTAATTGATTTAGATATTTCAATTTTATCGTTAAAAATCACTCTATATTCATAACAATTGGCAATTTTGACTACTAGATTCTCACCCGGAAAATTAAACCTAAAGCTTTACACTAACACTTCCGATGTAGTTTTCTCTGATCAATTGACTGTTATGACAACAAACGTATAATTCGGTTTTTTAAGAAAAAAGAGCGTTTGTTTATTTTCTGAGTTTTGCGTTATTTTTGTTCGACTCTAAGCTCTTTTATTTAATATATTTAGTCAATAAATCCTGACTATGACAGTTTGCTAGGGAATATATTATAAACCCTGCAATGCGAAATGAACTAGTTTTCTTGTGGGTAGACGAAAACAGGTTTGCAACTGATTTTCTCAGCAGTTTGATCATTCTGGTCTGTTTATATTCGCTGCTTTTCGACAAGTTGGTAGAGTTTGCGATTATGTGATGATGATTACAATGCCCCAGGTGATATTTTATTATTTTTTCAATAAATAAAGTTATAATTAAAAAATACGATTTAAACATATTCTGCTATTGATATCTTTAATTGCTTAGACCGCGGTGGCCGAGTGGTTAGGGCGTCTGTCTCGTTTTTTCCACGTTAGCGGTTCTGGGTTTCGAACCCGGCTTATTTTGTAATTGAGAATCGTATGAAAGAGTAATTGTAAGTGGTTTGAACCCTCGTCCGCGACACCTAATGGATCGCTGGAAGTTAAACCCTTCTATTCGATAGGAATTACATTACTTTTATTATTGATATCTTTAATATTCGATGTGCAAAGTTATGATGGACAGTTACCGTCAGGGAAAATAACAGATGTTGACGTGAAATTATTCATAGGGCACTTTTGTAATTATGTTTACTCCTCGTTGGTTGATGAAGCCGGTTCTAGTTAGGCTTATAATTTCGTTGCGAGCAATATTACAACTCAGAACACAGTACAATTTGACGAATTGAATTGTCATTTCGTGTTGGATACATTTTATCTCGAGGTAACCGGCAGGTTCTTCCGTTTACTCACTTTCCAAAAACGATTTCAATAATTATAAAATAATTGTTATAAAAAATCAAACTATCAATTTATTCCACGTCACTTTGTTTTGACAAAGTGGAATTTTTTTTTCAACTACGAGGTTATATGAACCCGCGGGGTGCCGATGTTTTTGAAAAAAATCCCATTTGTAAGTATGTCGGGTTCGAACGCAGGGCCGCTGGATTCGAACCCGGGACCTTTACCTTACAGTGATGAACGCCGGTCAACGCCTAAACCGTTGCGGCCACCGACTCCCCTCAAAAGTGGATTATTAACGGAGACCTGATTTTTGTGCTATTGCAAATACAATAAATAAAAATCTTGCTCTTATTCCAAATTATAATATATTATTATTTCTCTTATTATTATTAAGTAAATAAAAGTAGTGTTTTAGTCAAATTAGGATGTGACGAACGAGGAGCCAAACAACTTTATAATATCTACTATAAATTGTTACCAATTAAAATTTCCCTGGCTGTAACAGGATTCGAACCCAGAACGGCAGCGTTGACATTACGTGTTCCCTATTTTTTATTACCCAAATTATTTATCTGAACTTTGGCCCACTTTGACCCCTTCACTTCTTTTCCTAGAAATCTCTTGTCCAAGCTTGACTACCAAAGGTTATTTCTCCATATTGTGCACTGTCTATCTTTACTTTTTGTTCTTGGACTGGCATTGAATTTCAGTCATATCGTCCAATTATTTACAGTCGGTTCCAAGTTACACTTTATCACCCTAACCCTCGTGTGCCTCTGATAAGGCATCGGCCGCCCATGCCGACCCGAGGCCGACACGAGTACAGCTTGTGCTTGGTGGTTGAGTGGTTGCCACGCCCTCTGGGCTACACCTTTATTTTGCGCCCGGACACCCCCCTTGTAACCAAGGGTTGGGAGGGGGTCACAGGATAGAATGAAGGAACCTGGATTGAAAAAGGGACGTGGATGAAGACACGAGGTGAGCCGTTTCGGGGTCTCGAGCCTCAACCACATTATACACCCGTCGTCGCTGTAGTTCCACATTGAGTGGGCTACAGCTCCCTGGGTGGGAGTAATTGGTCAGTCAGTGCCCGCAATGAAATTGACACTGCAGCTTATCATTTATCTGAAGTTATTAGTTTCTTTGGCTTCAGCTAACATTGTCCTTGTAGCTGTCTTGGATAAGGCATCTCTGCAAGGTTTAGAGATGGCGAGTAGGGCGGCAGAAAGGTAATCGTATGAGAAAATGATTACACGACCTCTTTAACTTCAGCAGTTTTATGGATACTGGCATTGTCATAATTAGATATGCGTTACATAATGAAAGCCCATCACGTTTTTTACATAGCTCACGTAAAAAAATACAAAAGTGTAAGCTGTTACCGGCTATCATTTTTCACATATTTATATTCTTGATGAAATAATTTTCCTTTTTTAAAATTTAAATAAAGGTTTTCCCAACTTCCAGCTAGTATTTATTTTCTTCCCGACTATAAAATCTCAAATGAGGCGATTATTAAATTAGTTGAGACGATTATTAAATGGAATGAAACGATTATTAAATGGGATGAAACGATTATTAAATAGGCTTAATTAAATTCAATGAGACGATTATTAAATTAGTTGAAAAAATTATTAATTTGACTAAACAATGTTGTATGAATCTTCGTGCCAAGATCTAGAAGTGTATTAAGCCTGTTAACCAACGATTTTGGCAACAGCCAAGCCAATTTGTCCTCAGAGGCAAGCTGGTTTTAATGGAAAGTTTAGAACAGTTAATATAAAATGGCATAATGAAATAAAGCGATTCGTAGCAATCCATTAGTTAAGCTTATTGTTAAACAGATAAAAAATGACGATATACAATAATAAACAATATATTTTTCAGATTCTTCCCGACACACACACAAATTAGAAGATAAATCAACAAAAGAGGAATGCCTACGGTAAAAATTCCATAGCAATTTGATAATTTTATACAATGCCTGCTAAGTTATTGGCTAGTTTCTGAACTATTAACATTAATGATTATTTGGAGATCTTGAGATGCGGTCTGGTGTGGCGTAAGTTTTAGAGAAACATTTTTTTATAGTGCCAACGATTCGATTTTTATTGAGATGATCTTAGGGCCTTGTGTTGTCTGCATTTTAACAAAAAAGTTGTCTGATTGTTTTTGTTGAAATGCAGATAACACAAGGCCCTGAAGATGATCTCAATAAAGATCGAAACGTTAGCATGATAAAAAAAGTTTTTCTAAAACCTACATCACACCAGACCGCATCTCACGATCTCCAAATAATCATTAACTAACGGTCTAAACACCACACATTAACATTAATATGTTGCCCCATAGTCTAACAGTTCATCAAATTGTGTAGTGAAATTCCAGTTACATTACATTTTAAGATACGTAATCAGTGAATATATAGTTTATAAATTAATTGATTCCATAATAAGCAGGAATCCATTTGTGCTTAGAAGTTTGGTGGGAATATAGAATTTCTCTTAGGGGCGAAATTCACTTCTTTCGCTCGATATACTTTATTGAAGCGATCAAACTGGAATAACTATATATCCACGTATTTTAAAGATTAATCATCCAGACGTCTACAAATCTTTGTACTTGTACTTTGTTGAGTACTTTGTTCTCTTTTCAGTTTAACAGTAAGGGAAATTCTTCGTGTTTGGTCTGTTATTAATTTTGAAAAGGGATCGTATGAGGGAGGGATTGCCGTTTACAGAACCATTTGGGTCTGTGAAATCTTTTATGCACAGTTTGATTTTATGACTTTAGTCTTTCACTTTTTTTCAAGAATAATTATAATCTCCAATATCCATATAATACGACCTCATTTTTTTTGTAATTTCGAAACAAAAGAAAGTCTCAAAATGCATTGATACATTTTTTTACAAATTTATGTGGCAGTAATAATATTAATAATAATAATAGCGATGGTTATTCGGAGATCGTGAGATGCGGTCTGGTGTGAAGTAGGATTTAGAAAAACATTTTCTTTATCGTGCCAACGTTTCGATGCTTATTAAGATCATCTTCAGGGCTCAAAAAAGATCAAAACTTTGGCGCGATAAAGAAAATGTTTTTCTAAAACCTACATCACACCAGACCGCATCTCACGATCTCCGAATAATCATTGACTAACGGTCTCTAAACACCACATAAAATAATAGTAGCCTTGTATGGGCTAAACCACTCAAGTGCCCAGCTTATGGCTTTAGGTTTTATTGTGGCTACCACCTCCTTCTACTATTCCTTTGTGGTTTTTATTTGTTTTGACCGTTCAAGGAGTATTTCTTCCATATGGTTCCCACGAGTAGCTAGGGATATAGGGTGTCAGCCTCAACAGAGCCCCACATGCTGGGGTAAGCCTGAATACGACAGGGTGTCGGCCGGTTCCCTGTGGGCTCCGTTTGGGACACTATATTTTATCATCCCAGAGCCATTCATCTTTCGTCACGGGTCGCTTAACAACTTGGATTAGGTTCGCCATTTCCTCTATTAGACTGCCTCGAAGCGACGGCAATTGTGGGATTTATTATTATGTAGGTGCAGGTTCTTGCAACTAGGATGAGAAAAAATCCTAGTAAGATCTTACACTATGGAGCCGCTGGCAAAGTTATGGAGGCTGATTAATAACCTGAAGCTGGCCAGTGAGGTATAAATAACAGGGGAGCACAATAGATCTATTCAGGTCGAGGTGCAGTAGGCCTTGTGGCCGTCTCTTTTATGTTTATCCCTATCCCTAATAAAGCCTTTATTGAAATATTAATATAAACAACGCTCTGCCTACCTAATCTACACCAACTCCCTCAGCGCGGTTACTGCTGTCCTAGACAGGTGCTTCGTCCACCGTCTCGTTGTGCTCTTGCTGGATAGATACGACGAACTGCAGAGTCCCGGCAAAACGGTGGTTGTAGCCGGACACATAGGTCTGAAGGGTCAAAGCGGTGAAGGCTGGAACGTTGTACCCTCAGCACTTAACCACAGCGATCCGACCTCCTGACGTTACAAATACAATACAAACATTATTAAAAGAAAGTGGCAGCGTCGGTGATTAGGTTAGTGAAGCTCTCACGTGTCAAGAGAACTGACGATAGGAGGCTCTTGGAGGACCTAACTCGTAGAAGAAAGGGGAGGTCATCTCACTCGATTAAGGATATGCCTTGCGAGGTTGACATACGGACACTTACTTGTGGCCAAATCACGCGTATGTGTCCAGCATACAGAGAAAGGATGATCAATTATTATTAATGGGTGCAATTCTTGGTGCCATATAGAGAACCCGTAGGAAATGAGAATTGGGTCCCCTATACCGATTTTTGGAGGAAACAGAGCTGTTTTGTTTTATATAGTAATGATAGTTTTGTGTATCTTGCATATGTTAAGAGTGAATGTCTTTATTGGCGTGAATATATAGTGTAAGAAGGTAGATGCCGAAATATTGAATACACTATCAGTTCTCAATTAGGTGTAAAGGGTACTGAGAAATATAACCCTAACCTAAGGTCAAGATCTGACTATGGATTGCCAATACTTGGGGTGGGTGATTCTCAAGACCTGCCGGTAATTGATTGTAAATTTGAAAAGTTTAGATTGCCGGCGGACTGCGAGAATTGTTAGACTCAACTCTGTACATGTGTGTATGATAATAAATGTAAACATTGTGTACACAATTAGTTGGGTCGTTTCCGATCATACTGATCTGCTCTATCCCTAACTACTTTGGTCTGTAGACGCGTTTTAAAATGTCTATAGAGAAATGAGGAACAACTTATAACTAACTAAATTAACTAATTATAATTAATACCTGAGAAGAAGTTGAAAATAAAATTTATAAAATATGAAATAAATAGCTATTCTTGCTCGTGGATGTCAAACAGAATCAGTTAGGTCTCTGGGGGAAATTCAATTTTATCCGATTGGTGCAGTCTTATTTGCCGAAGAAGAGATGGCAGCTGTTTGATCACTGTAAACGGTTTCTCGGTCGGCATAATGTCATCGTATCAATACGACAAACATCCGACTGGAGTAAAGGCGAAACGGGTTCTTCACGAACAAACAACCTGACTAAGAAGATTATATTCCACATGTCATCATCCACTTTCTGGCCTGCACGAGCATCACCGTAGTCGGAATAAAGTCAAATCTTGCTCAATCTCGACAGACTGAGAAGCGTTCTTTCATTTTCTTTTATATGAAAACGGAAATAAAAATATACTGTGAAACATTTCTCTTTCTATTGGAATTCCTTACATGTTTCGAATGTCTGCAATAAATGGAAAATTAAATGGTCATATGCGTCTGTATAATTGGACATAGTCCCATAAGTAGCAAGAACCGGCAGTCTGTTAAAAGGGCTCCATGAACTGATTGATCTCTGGACGAACAGTCATAGAAGACATAATAGCGTCTTTCAAATCATCAGTTCTTTAAAAATGGGTATCAATGTGATTTAGTGTTTAATATAATAAGCGAAGTAAAAACTCGTGTTTTAGAATGTCAGGGAGAAAATAAGGGAGAAAGTTGTTTTAGCCAGGCGTTATAAATCCACCAAGGGCCATATAATGGCATGTGAGCTAAGATGAACCAAACGCCAATTTCAGTGTGGCTAGACATAATGAAAGAACTCTTCGTTGGGAAGTTATTCAGAAGTTAAGACCAATGAAACCAACCCCTTGGAAGACTTTCAAATCAGTCGAGTACGAACTTCTCAAGGAACCCCATCAGAGCTAGCAGCACATATTGTCGGAACATTTTACACACCCTTTAGTTGAATAGTGGTATGGAGCCCACGACGTATAATAAAAAGATATTTGTTAAGCCAAGGGAGCGTAATAACAACCATGAATGGATCATAATTGACAACCGGTGGTTAGATGTCCAACGCTATTTCGAGATGACTGTGTGGTAGGTGGTTTGGTTCTTCTTTTTATACCAAGGAAGCCTACTGATGACGTACAGTAAGCAGGAATGGTTTCCTATAGCAACAGATGAAATCCTGTTTCCATACACCGCTGTGAACAAATTATAATATTAATCTCTATAGAATTGTAATATAATATCTATTAATAATCTATAAAATTCTATCTCATAGTTTCTTTTCCACTGCGGTTTTCCCTACATGCTACCTTTAAAAAAATTGTTTATTTACTAATTGTTTTTGAGAGTGGACACCATTATTCGAGGTAAAATGCTTTGAAATGAATCGGATATTAATCAGGCCTTTTCTTTTATCTCATGTTGTTTTACCATTCAATGTACCCGATTGATATAAAACAAAAAAATAGAAAAAATAGAATGCTTGAAATAGAAATATATTTTAATTGTTAGCCCATTATTTTCATTTAGTTCCAGTTGAACAAACGGACATTTTATGTGTATAATCTCAACATTTCTCAACTCGGATACCCTGGACATGGTATAAATACAGTTAAATTCCAATATATCGTAAGGGGACGATGGATAAATACGATCACTGTATCGAGATTATAGCATATCGAGGGTACAACATTTAAAATTGTGTGTAGAGATTAGTGACCGTTAGTCGATAGTTATTCAGATATCGTGAGATGCGGTCGGGTTTAAAATTGTGTATAAAGTTGTATATTTATACATGCTTTTTTTTATAAACATTATAAGAATTTTTGAAAATATTGATCAATTTTTGTTTGCATTAAAACGTTATTTAAACGTGTGCAGTCTAATGCGATTCAATAGAGTGAATTACTCAGAACACGTTTTCATCCAAATTTGATTTCGGTAAAAAAATGATGTAAGCGATTGATCAATTTCTTGTCCTCTTTAGGAATGTAAGTCGGAACTTCTTCTTCTAGTTTTTGTCTTCTTCACCATTCATATCGTTCGTTTCAGTTAAAATTTCGTTAAGCATTCCAGTAACTGCAACTTATCTTAAAAATTAACCAACTCCTGTAAGGGGAGGGGGATGTTCTTCATTTTGAGACAAGTATTGCTATCCGATGGGGGCCTGGAGTTCATTTTCCGGTTCCATGGCCAATACATCCACCTTTAGAAAAACCACAAGTTCTGAAGTGAAATTGATTGTGGTTGCCATTACCTTTTCCATGCGTTGTCGGCAATATTTATATGCAGTAATTATGTGGTTTACTTTGTATCAGTGGCATTGGGTGTATCAAACAAAATCCTGGCTGACCCTTATGGTCTACTGCTTTAGTCTGGAGCTTGGTACATCCGTATAAGGAAACCTCTACTCCTCTACTACTACTACTACTACTACTACTACTGCTACTGCTACTGCTACTGCTACTGCTACTGCTACTACTACTACTACTACTACTACTACTATTATGTTTATTAAAATGGTGGCCAGTAAGAACAGATACATTGCTTTAGAACAGATAGGCTCAGCTGTCCCCGCCAATGGTTTTTCTTCGCAAAATTCTAAAGTCAAGGATAAACTTTTCAACTACTGTATACCTTTCCCAAGTGAACTCCCATAGCATTGCTGCTAGACACTTAATTATCCTCCGTATGCTATCAAGGGGTAACGTCTATTAAATAATTTGGGGATTTGAATGGAAGCTCTACATGGAGCGGGAAGCTATCCCCTATCCCACAAAGAAAATCCTGGAAATAGACCCTTGTGGTCTACGTGACATGGAGCTCGGTCCATCCTTAAACCTCTACCCCTCTACTACTACTGCTACTACTTATTCATAGATTTAATAGGGATTTCATTGCTAAAATACGAATTGTAAGACGTTTTGTTTGAATGTGGAAAAAATACGTTATACCGAGGGGACTGAAATGCACTGGTTTTACACAATTTAACGAGATGTTTTTTCAAGGGATCAGCAGTTTCTTACGATATATTGGGATTTTAATGTGCATGTTCAAACATATTTTTACATTACATTTATTAAAATTGAATTCACTAATATTAGTCGTAACTCTAATAAAACATTTATTCTACATCATTGCATTTCTTTTGTTTACAGACTGCTCCGTCGATACATACAACAGTTAATTAAACACATTTTAAAGTATCTTCAATCAAAGGACATGCCAACGGTAAATACTTCAACAATTAATTTATTATGTTTTTACATAGTGTTTTTGTCATTTTGTTTTTAAACGTAACTAGTTGTAATTTTTGGATGAATTTTAAAAGAGAAATATGAGAGAACTAGTGTTAATACATATTTAGTAGTATTCAAGTATTACGTAAAACACATATACAAATTTTATATTGCACACAATATACATATTTTAAAGACAGAAAAAATGTATATTGAATTGAAATAGAACCTCAGTCTTGCTTATTATTTATGAGTTTTTGCTGTAAGTTATTAGGTTATTACAATAATTAGCATCGAAAAGCCGACTGCCCATTTTCATGTGCATATGCAATTTTCGAATTGATTAGTAATTGGTTTTGTGAGGAGTAAGAATAAATGTATGTAGTTCGTCTGAGATGGTAATAAAGGAAGATAAATTGAGAAAACGCATTAAACCGTGAACGTGGGAAAGCGATGCTTGCGAGTCGGAAATCGCGGGTAAACGGAGTCTATTCTCTAGCGGCCGCATGGCACAATTTAGCATTAGCATACTTGATTGAGCATAAAAAGCCCTTCCCTCAAGGATACGGCCTAACGTTTGTACAACAATGTCCAAACTGGGCTTTCCGGTATTTTACACTGTAATTGTGTATACGTTCAAACTTGAACTACGGATTTATTGCACATTCATGTAAATATCAGGGGGTTGCAAATGTTTCGCCAACTCAGTGCTCCAGTACAACTATTTATTGAGGAAGCATTACAGTTATTATTATTCGAAATTTGAAGTTTTTGTTCATTGCGTTGAATGGTTCAGTAATACAGTGTGATTCACTCATAGGACAAAGTTCGTCAGGTGCTTCTACAATAAATGCAACAAAAAAAAAGAAGTTTTTATAAACCATCGTCCGATTCTCAACCCTTTGGCAGATATTCAACATTTTATGTTTGTTTTCCTACTATCCTCAGTTTTCGTCATAAATCTACTCGTCGTTTTTGGGGAAATCCCCCAACAAAAAAGCACTGAAAAAACGTTAATTCTTTTTTTTGAAGAACGCACTCTTCTCTATTTATATTTGGTTAAAAAACACTAAATCTTTCAAAAACTGGTAAATTTAAGGTTTGTCAAATCACTAAATTTGCAACCTCATTTTGCAAATTCAACGTTGACCTTGGCAAATTTCATAACAACTTCGTTTAATAAGATTTCTGGTGGTATCCCATTTTTTTCAATTATATCGAACTATGCAGAAATTTTATGCTATAAGGGAAAAAAGTGGTAACGGTGTGAAAAAGGGGGAGTCGGGTTCCTCTAGTAATTCAACTTTTAGTCCTGGGGATAATTTATTACACAACTTTAACTTAATAAAAAAACAAAAAGAAAGAAAAATGCAACAAAACCCATAAAAAAGAGTCAATAAACATAAATAACAAATAAAGAAACAATATGAATTCAATATCTACACTAATCTTAGCCAAATGAAAGAAAAAGAACAACAAAACTGAAGTTGTAAAACCAAACTTTAACCTAATGAAGCACAAGTTATAAAAAAGCACAAATAAAGAAAAACCAACGTTAAAATCAAATCCATTAGAGTTCGTGGTTGATTGACTTATCTTTTCTTCAATTAATTCGAAAGCTGGGTTGAGATAGAAAGTTGGTGTCCGAGAGGATCCAAGTCACGACAGATCAAGTGTTAGAGCCGGGGCGTATTTAGCCGAAGGTCGTGGGTTCGAATCCCGCTCACGACACTGACGTTTTTATCTCAACCAATATCTTACATAAAGATCAATTAGTTAAAATCAAAGAAGAGACAATAAACAAAGCGAACAACCAATGGAGAAAAATTACGTAGAATTCTTTCTCTTGTGGTTTCTTTAGTTTTCGATTTTTGTAGAACGAAGAAGTTGTTATAAAATTTCGCCAGCCTGCTAGTTTTTTACAAATTTTAAATTTAGCATTTTGTAAAGGATAATCCCTCCGCAGATACTAGTAATTTTGCCTGGAATTGAATTGAACATAAAACTTGAAATGAAAAACAGATTTTATGCAATTTTATTCTGGGTCTTTTGTACAATAATTAAAAAAAACACTTAATTACAATAATAATCAGCAACGTTAATCGTTACAAGAATTTGGGAAAAACCTGCCAAATTTACAGCCCTAAATGCGAATTAAAACTAAATAAATTAAAACCTACTTGGTTCTAAAAGAAAAGAGTAATAAAAGATAATTCTATTTACGTGAACGGGAGATCGTTGAATATCGTGGAAGGGCGGAGGATTCTCACTCCCGGGAATGATACTTTCAGTGATATAATTTGATATAATGGAAATTGTATAAGAAAATGTCTTACTGAAGAATCAAGTTGTATCAGAAGGATCAAAATTAAAACTTATGCGGCCCAATTTAATTTGAATTACACGTTCTTAAAGCTGCTAAAAGCTTCGTGGAAATGTTCTAGTCGGTTCTAGTAATAATCTTCCCACCGACCTGATTTAACTGAAAGTTTATGAATTCATTTCAATGTACGTCAGATCAAGTTTTGAACAAAACGGAAACAACTTTTTTAGACAATAACGTTTTAATAGCAAATAGGGTCAAATGGAAGTTTTTACTATTCTAGAACTTCTTACTATATTTAAGTAGCTGTAACAGTTTTTAAATTCATAGCTCTTCAGATGGTCAATTAAGTAGACATTACCTCAAAGTCGAGTTAATAAAATATCTCAATTATCTCGAAGTTTATAAGACAGAGGCAACCGCGGCCGACTCCCCAAATAAGCGACCAATGTCAGGGCTTACAACGTCTCAGATATGAAAGTCGTTAAAAAATATAATTTAAATTTGTCTAAACGATTGGCTTTTCTAAAAGATTTTGAAGTTAAAAACAAATGTATTTTTTGTACTGATAATAAATAGTAAAATGGTAAGCAGTGACAGTACAATTGTGGTTGTTACGTGGAGTAAGAATAAATTTATTAAATCCATTATATTTCTTTGTCCGATTGACCAAATAAATTTTTTCAATTAATTAATCTTTTTATCTAAGGTATTGGTTGAAATGAAAAAGTTAGTATCATGAGCGGGATTCGAACCCACGACCTTCGCCGCTGCTCTACCATTTGAGCTATCGTGACATCGATCCACTCGGACACCAACTTCCCGTCCCAACCTACCTTTCGAATTTTCCCCTTTAACTAAATTTCTTTAATACTTTTATTGGTTAATTTATAATTACTTAATTCTCGTATTTTTTATATACACTGAAGGACAAAATTCACACACCACCCTTAAATTTTAATGTAATTTAGGTTTATTCATATTTTGAATAACAAAAATAGGTTTGATTGTAAAAAAAAAGACACAATAAAAAAGAAAAAAGAAATCTAATTCTAAATAAACTGTTATAGTAATGAAAAAAAAACTTTTACCCCGTTTAATACTGATTATTTCCACCTCTGGCTCAAATCACGTCAGTTAAACGCTTTTGCATTCCTTGGAAAAGATTTCTGATAAAATCCTGAGGAATTCTTTCCCATTCATCGAGAACAGCCATTTCCAATTTTCTAGGGTGTTAGGAACTGGGTTTTTCGGTCCAACTCGTCGAGTTAAGTTGGTCCCAAAATGAGTTCGATTGGGTTCAAATCTGGACTTCGGGCTGGTTACACCAAGCACGCAATTCCAACCTCATTCATCTATAACGCGTTCGAAAGGATCTCCCAAATTGCACAAGTTGTTCGCTTATGTCAGCTACCTCTGTGTAGTTAGAAATCTTCCTCGTCAACAAAACAATTCCGAGCGGGCTTCCTGGAGGAGGAACCTTACCTTTTTCCTGAACATCTCCAAAGGAAATTACGCCCACAGATTTTAGCTAGAATTGGGAGAATACTTGTAAATCTATATTAGGATTAAGGATAGTTCGATGATGGATTTGTTTGGTTTGGGAATTGCGGTTGTGAGAGAAAATTTTCCACAGAGATGTGTGTTGGGCGGGTTATGGCATGGAAAATGGTTATGATGGATACAATTGCTTCTTGTATGTATGTAGGTTTTTAAGAATTTTGGAAATTATGATCACGTGGGAATTTCTTAACTGTGAGACGGAAAATTTGGTACTTAACTTCCGAGTGATGGATAGGATTTGAGGAATTGGGCGATTAGATCTGAGTGATGTCCTGCATTCGGATCTGGATGAGGAGTGAAGACCGTTCAAACGTAGTCGGAAAGGCACCTCTTGACTGATATGTCCCAGGACCGTTGAGGCGTCTTATTAGGTCGTGACTTTCTTAGTTGCTACCTATAAGGAGTGTGTATGGATGTATATGGTGGATATGGATTCGAGTATTGGAACTGGGATGAAAGGTATTTGGATAATTCGCATTTCAGAGTAGGCAGTTTTTCTCGTACTCTCCGAAAAAATAAAAATAAATAAGTAATTAAATTTTATCCTATAATTTAATAATTAAGTAATTATCAAATAGCATTGATATGCTTGTACCTCTCTGCTAATTATAGCAATATGGCACTTTGATTATCGAATATAGGCCAAAATAAAAAGAGGAATTGAACAAAGAGAGCTAAGCACGCAACACACTTGCCCGATGCAACGCTATGCGACGCTACCCGATGCTACCCCTCGCAAATCCAAAGTCCAATTTTTCATTAGGATGTATTACCCCCATGCACATCTGACCAATGCTATGCAACGCTACCCTACTGTACTTTCTGCGATTCCAACTGTCCAAAATTTCGTCGGGTAGCATCGAGTACAGTCGAAGATAAAAGAACCGGACACTCATATTTTTATTCAAACTACATGCATTATTGCCGTTATATTAATTACAACAAACTTACTTTAATATAAACCAAAAAAACCGAGATCAAAAATTCATTAGTTTTTATTAAAAAAATATTAATTATAATGGTTTGGTAGACAATTGATCAAAACACCGGAATACCATTTTTTAATATAATGACATTAACTAACAATGTATTACACGAATTCGCTCATAAAATTTAATTAACAATTTATTTCATGGTTTTGCTCATAAAATTATACCAGTTTTGTCGAGTGCGTCAGAACAGGACACTCATATTTTTGTTGTTTATTTCAATGTAAGTACATGTAATTTTGTCTTTATATTAATTACAACATTCCTATTTTAATTAACCAAATTAAACGAGATCAAAAATTCATAAGTTTTTGTAAAAATTATTTAATTATGATGTTTAGGCAGAAAATTTATCAAAACACCGGAATAACTTTATTTAAAACAATTAAATTTATTACATGGTTTTGCTCAAAATAATGCATTAAGAACAAAAGAGACGTTGTGATTGTGATACTAATGCACGCTGAGTGACTACGTGACGTGCGCTTGACGTCGCATAGATGTGCACACCCTACCAAAACGAGACAAGGCGTCGCATAGCGTTGCATCGGGTAAGTGTGTTCCCGCCTTTAGTGTATGACGAAGAGCACCTGCGGGACCGAATTTTCAACTAAAATTTCGTTGTGCTAGTTGTGCAAAATAGTTAGCAATAGGTAGAAGACGAGGTGGACAAGTGTTGGATATTTCTTTTATACATATGTGCGTGTAAAGTAATGAGTTGAGTATTGACATTTGCGATATCGGTTGCAGGAAGTTGTATCTATGCACATTGGCCAGGCGGGCGTCCAAATGGGAAACGCCCTCTGGGAGCTGTATGGGCTCGAGCACGGCGTCCTGCCCAACGGGGTGAACGCTTTTCCGAACCAGAATATCGACGAGGGTACGGAGAGCGTCTACATGAACAACAGCGGGAGGCTCGTCCCACGGGCCATTTTCGTGGACCTGGAACCGACGCCGATCGGTAAAACAAAGTTGAAATTTTCCTATAAACTTCTCTTTGTCACTAATTTCGTCTGATCGCAGATGAAATCAGGGTGGGTACGTACCGGCAGCTTTTCAGCCCGGAATTCATGCTGACGGGGAAAGAGGACGCTGCGAGCAACTTCGCCAGAGGATACTACGGTGTCGGCAACGAGATGTCCGACATCTGCTTGGATAGACTGCGGAAGTGCGCTGAGACTTGCCACTCTCTTCAGGGATTCATTATCTTCAGGTCCTTCGGCGGAGGTACAGGCTCCGGATTCGTTGCCAACATTCTCAACAAAATAAAAAGGGACTATGGCAAAACGAGTGTCCTTGAGTTCGCCGTCTACCCTGCACCAAGAGTAAGTCTCACTTTTTATTAATTGCTATTAGGTTCGTAATAATACGTAATAAGTTTTGTTAGTAATTAACAGGGAAGAAGCTTTCGTTTTGTCTTCTCCTACACAAAAATTAATCCAAATCTCCATGTTTCTGGCCATGACATCAAAACAGAATATCAATTTTTTCCCGGGGGTGTTTCAACTACGAGTTTTTACCAGGGGTTACAGTGTTTTGGACAAAAAAAAAGCTCGCTTGTTGGGCCTTAGTGATGAGTCTAACCTTTGTGGCAACCGACGCACCTGAATATCATCTTCAATCCTTTCAGGCTTACTAAAGTGTATTTCTTGTTTGCTCTATGTACTACTGACATCACACAGTATATCACACCTTGTTCATTTTGGCAAAAAACAGCTCACTCTCATTCTCTTACGGTGCTTTATGATGCTGTTCGTTCCTACTTATCTTCCTTTCACAGAGGATTAAAAATTAAAGTAAAACTAAATTAAAATATTTGCCCATACGTCACTTCCCGGCGAGCTATCCCACCTCCAGTTTTCCTATTTCCAAGACCGATTTGGTTCGCTACTTAAGGCTATTGAAAAATTACCATAATATATTGAAACAAAAAGAATTAACTGGATGATACAAACATCCAATTGATGTGAATTTACAACATGAAAAATGTGGCTCAGGTAAAGCTTACGACTTGTATAGAATCTAATCCTTCCACTTAATCAAAACTCTCCTCCTCTGATGAATCTTTCTACCTGTACAACCCTCACCAGCGACATGAAAATCGCCTCTCTTTAGCACAAAATTTAGATATAACCAGTTCCTCTACTCAATGTTGATCATCCAAATCCTTCACTAACCTGGACTTCCTCGTCGCCTGATGATAATCCTCAACGCCGACTGAAACGTCGGTGGCCCCGCGTTCTCATTCAAAGCGATAGTGACTTATATCGTAGATTCACAAATCTGACAAATACAGAGTGACTTCTGCTCTCACTACTATACTCACGAACTTGTAGATAATTTTTCAGTTTTAACCGTCCAATAAATAAAACACGTTGGAAGGAGTGCTTTCGCTGGTAAGTTAAATTTGTTCAAAGTTAAAACGCGTTTGAGTGAAGTGTCAATTTGCGAGAATAGACGAACACTGTAAAACATTCGTTGTGATTTACCAACAAACAACACCACCTTGAAAAAGGCAATGGACCCTTGCCAGGTCCCACCAATTCGTAAAAGCTGATCTATCCCCTTATCATACAATCCTTCAACACGACTAAAAATATCATTTCCATGCCAACTATTACCACTGCAGACTCGTCGTACCACCGAGGAAACGACATTTATTAAATGACACTCGTACATTTGGCCTTCGTGTTTAACGTGTAAATTTTGATAATTATTTAAATTGATATTGTACTAATGTCAATTATTGAGAGAATTTTTAATTGGCTGGAATGTTTTATTTTTTAAGAAAATAACTGTTCATTCGTTCTGAATCTACCCCTACTACTATGTTGTGTCGAGTTGTGAAATTTAATTCCTACCGCTTGCGAGGAGGGATGTGTGCCATTTAAATTGTTTCACTGTCGAATATTCAGTCATCGTATATTATTCCTCCAGCCATTTTTAACATCCTTTCCCTGCTTTCAAAACTTCAACCCCCTTATATATTATGTTAATATTGTGTTGTCTTACAATTTGAATTTTTCCACTTATTCGTTCCTTCTGAAAGGTTATTTTGTCTTAAACTCCGTCAAATGTTTTAACGAATGTTTACTTACTGTAAAGACTTCCATACCTGCTTTGAAATGGAAGTATCTATGTTTCGGTATCTTTTCGAAATTGAATAAATCAAATCGATCAAATCAGATATCCTTTTTTTAAATTAAAAAATTGGAAATTGGTCATTTTTTCCAGTCATCATGTTCATTGTCTGTTCAGTTCGGTTTCATTATATTCATACGACGTGTGCAGATGGTGTTAAGTGTACTAAAGTTGGGGTGGTTTGCGAAGAAACCATTCCAGAACGAATGCGTACTCGACAATAGCACCGTCAGGGGTTTGCTATTACATAAACTGAACGTAACCATGGCAAAAAGTCTACCCTCATAAAACGTATTAAAACGGCTGTATTATTAAACTGGATGATTTTCGAGGTCTGCCGGCAATTTATTGTAAATTATAAAAGATGGAATTGCCGGTGGACTGGGAGACGTGATGATAGGCTCAACTGTTCATTTGTATATTCGGGGTGATCGGCTACTCCTGTTACAAACTTTGCCAGTGGATTCTACATTCAAAATTGAACCAAAAAGTCCTAGTTAACTATGGTCCTAATCTCAACAGTTTCGGAGTTTTCCTCTTTTTCTGATTTTTTAAACTTTCACGACCTTGCTTCAAATAAACAATGATAACTCCAAACTAAAAGGTTTTGGACAAATCCGCTGATACCATTGAAAACCACGTTAAATTTCCAATAAGATATGATCAATATTGAACTTGTAAACGTGGGTGAAATAAGCATTTTAGTAGCCAGAACGTGGACAAATATTGTTTTTTTAAAGTTGAAAAATTTACTGTGGTGATTCTAAACTACTATTTCAAAATATAGAATTTAGCAAATTTCAGAAAAAAGAGGTTGACAAAATGATAAGGTGGAAACTAACTAAAATATTTATTTCACCCACGTTTACAAGTTTAGTATTGTTCACATCTTATTGGGAATTTAACTTATTTTTCAATGGTATGAACGGATTTGACCAAAACCTTTTAGTTTTGTAGTTATCATTGTTTATTTAAAGCAAGGTCGTGAAATTTTAAAAAATCAGAAATAGGGGAATTACCTCAAAACTGATAAGATTCGAACCATAGTTAATTAGGACTATTTGTTGGATTTTGAATGTAGAATCTAGGTTTAATAAATTCATTCAAAATTTCCTTAAGTTTTTTTATTTTTATTTTGTTAAATCTTTCCACCTTACCAATCCTCCTCCCACGGTTTTTTCTTTTCCTTTATCAATTTCTTCATCTTTGAAAAACGTAATTAAAAAAGCAATTACACCACAGAAAAGGATATTAAATGGAGTACGTTTTCTGAAATTCGCTGATCTCCAGGTTTGGAAATAGTAGTTTAGAATCACCTCAGTATGTTTTTCAACTTACAAAATTTTTTTTTCAAAGTTCTGGCTACTAAAACGCTTATTGCACCAAGTTTACAAGTTTAGTATTGATTACATATTATTGGAAATTTAACGTAGTTTAAATGGTATCAACGGATTTGTGGAAAACCTTTTCGTTTTGGAGTTATCATTGTTTATTTGAAACAAGGACGTGAAATTTAAAAAAATCAGAAATAGGGGAATAACTCCTAAACTCTTAAGATTAGGACCATAGTTAACAATGACTTTTTGGTTCAATTTTGAATGTAGGATCTACTGGCCAAGTTTGTAACACGAGTAGTCGACACACAGTATATGTACATTCTATAAATCAGTAATCAATATTAAACTGTTATTATTATATTAATCCATACATGTATTTAGTAGTCAAAATTGACCTATTAATTATTTTAATTAATTATACTTTTTATCTAAGGACATGGTTGAAAAGAAAAAGCTAGTGACAAGAGCGAGATACGAATCCAGACCTTAGATAAAAAATATAATTAATTTAACTAATTAGTATGGTCAATTACGACCACTAAATACATAATATAGGTTAATATAACAATTATATAAAGCAGTTTCCTCTCTTACAACTCCCCGTAGCCACTTTATAAGTCGACGAGAATCGAATTCTGATTACTCGATATTTAGAAATATCGCAAAAAGGGGAAAATTCGAAAGATTGCCGGTTGAGATGTCCTGTCTCAATGGTTTGAGCAGCGGCGTATTTAGCCGAAGGTCGTTGGTTCGAATCCCGCTCTTGACACTAGCTTTGTCATGTCATTCATCCCAATCAAGATTATAGAAAAAAATATTATTATTTTTATTCCAGTATACAGTTATACCGTAGAAATGTGTGGTGTTTAGTGACCGTTAGTTAATGATTCTTTGGAGATCGTAAGATGCGATCTGGTGTGACGTAGGTTTTAGAAAAAACATTTTCTTTATCGTGCGAACGTTTCGATGTTTATTGAGATCATCTTCAGGGCTCAAAGTGTTTCTTTTCCGTGTACATGTGCCATTCTTGTGTGTAGTGTTGAGAGTGCCAGTGACACACAAGGATGGCACATTTACACGAAAAACAAACACTTCACATTCTCGTTGTTTTGGTCCGTCAAGTTCTCTTCAATTAGATGGCGAAAAGAAGAAAATCTATCAAAGGTTCATCACTCTGCTGATTGGATAGTGAAATCTCACTTTCAGTTAATCGTTAATTACCACAAACAAAACTCACAAAATTTATTTGAAAATTAACATTAGAACAGATTAGCACTTTTACCGAGTGAAAATTGTTCGCTTATGTATAATTCAGTACAAAAATTGCATGATTAACGCCCTTATTTTTTGTGTTTTAATGTTGTGAAATTCACGCTGTTATTTTTCTTTTATAAAAATTACTGAAAATTTAATGTAGGTAATCTGTTCCTCGCAAGTTTTCTAGTATAAAATTTAGTATTTATTTTTATTGATGTTTGTGTACTATGCCAATGACTTTCTTAAGTTCAAATGTGCGAATGTTTGCTATAGACATAAAGAAACAGAATAAAATTATTTTCAGATTTCGCCGATTGTAGTCGAGCCTTACAACACGGTGCTTGGCACGCACGCGGCCATCAACAACGAGGATTGCACATTCATTTTCGACAACGAAGCCGTGTACGAAATCTGCGCCAGGAATCTCGACGTACATAATCCGACATACACAAATCTCAACAGACTCATTGCTCAGGTATTTATTGTGTTCCTGTTGTCTTTTCGTCTCGCGTTAATTAGAAAAAGAGACTCGGGCCGGGTGAAATTAGGGGAAAATTTTCGGTCAAAACCGATTAGTGATAACGATGCCGGCCCTTGAGCCGGCATTTTCTGGTGATTTCGCCACTTTTTGAGGTATTGTTCCGAAAATTAGCGCCTCCGTCTTATCATCGTCCGGATTCATCCAATTTAATGGAACGTCTCAGGAAAACGGGAAACGTCTCTTTGTTCCCCCTTTACGTCAGCTAAGCCCTCCACCATCAAACACATGAATTATAACAATGTAACTCCGACTCATTCGCCCTTCAACTTACTTTGATCAGACAACTTTGCTGAATCCACAATTATGCAATTTCACGACGTCTCGTTAATCTTTAAACAATTTTCCCACTTTTCCTACGAGAGTCCGCCATCGGCCGTTTTAACCGTACCGCTAACGACCGCTACGTAGGAAATTTCTACGTTGAAAATAATTAACGGAAACAGCCAGCTTATCAAGCCTTTTTGCTAGTGGAATGATAAATTGTCTCCTTCTTCCGTACTCCACGGCTGATAATGGACGTAATAAAGATTTATCTACTAGCTTTTGAACTATTTGACTTTGCTAGACTGTCGCAATTTCTTGTGGGAGTAAACGACAAATAATTTGCTTTTTACCCGGCCGAGTTAAACTCTCCGGAGTCTAAAGGCCAATTTATTGAGAGGAGAAAGTTTTGATGAACCGACAGAAGCCGCCTGTGATTAGTTTTTGTTTGCAGGTTGTGTAATCTCTGGAAACTCGATAAAAAGGTAGTGTTCCAAGTTCCAAATTCCAAATAAAATTACTGTTCACAAAATCTTGGTGTATAAAAATCGTTTGTGTATAACAGCTACTCTCTACATGTGGACATATCATTAACAGTCAAAAACTAAACGTAGAATGTAAGAATAATGCAATAAAATTATAAATCAAATTAAAATGAATCATCTTAAGATGAATATGTCATATTTTCCCTTTGTTCAAAAGTTATACAGAAGTTATAATTAAAATTTTATAATTAATGTAATTAATTCATGCGCTGTGAGTTGCACAAAATAAATGTTACAAAATAAATAAAATTCTCAAAAAAGAAAGCAGAAATAAAAAGAACATATTTTAAATGAAACTACACATTAAGAGCATAAGCTCACTGTAGGTGTAAGAGTTTTCATGTTAAGTAATTAATGAAAATCAATGGAATTTGCATATGCAATTGTAATGAATAAGTAATATTATTACGACTATATCATATATTTTTCCACGTTTTCTATTTAAATGGCTTTATCTTATTTTTATTTTGGCCTTGGAATGTTAAGAAATATTTTAAATTGTTTTTAAATTTACAAAACTTTTACCAAAATTTTATCTGTCAAGTAGTTTGATCATCCTAGTCAAGTAAACGCTCCTCATATAATGTGTTACATTTCGAAAGGGTTAAATTATCATTTTGGGCAAATTTTGCTGTATTCTGTTTTTTTAGAAGAATGGTTTTATGGCTTTTAACGAACAAAATCAATATGAATTTAATATAAATTCTTATACTGTCATTAAATTTAGTTTTGTAAACATTGTTTCGGTGGTGTTTCTAAAGCTGCTTTTGATGATAATTTTGATTGTACATTTCTCGAATTGTTTTCTATATTAATAAAATTACGTTGTAGGTAGATCCCCATGAAATCTTACAATAGACTGTTGAACATTAATTCTTTACTAATGATATTCTTTAGTTTTAGAACAAAATAATTAATATTCTACAAATCTAAATCTTTTAAATAATAATTATTAATATTCTAAGTTTGATGATTTCTAAGTAAGATGATTTATATGTAGTTGCCACTTTAAATTTTTAGAAATAGTATCATTGTTAAATATTTATATGATCAGTTTTGAAATTTTGGACAATGGAGCCGAAGAAATATTAGCGGCGGGTAGTAGAGCTAGACCAGGTGGAGGCAGAAAATCTACCTGAAACGCCACTCTGGTTACCTCTCTTTATGTTCCCCCATCGTACGGTGGGATATAGCATAATTAATGAAAAATGGGATACCCCCACTATGCTTATGAAGTAATGTTTGAAGCCCTAAAAGATGAATATAGAAAAGTAGAGAGAGAAATTAGGTCCAAATCGGCAAAGGGCGCGGAGTGTGCTTTGTACACAGCGGAACCAAACGCCATATCCCTCGCGCTGAACATGACCATAAATAAAAACCACAACTCGTTTTTTATGGTGTGACCTTATCAAGTACCTTGAAAACCACCCACCTCGGTTGTTGGCAGTCCGGGGTCAGACCTCGGACGTATTTGTATTCGAGGACCTACCATCAACTAAGTCATTTCACTCACCATAAATAAAAACCATAGCTCTGTTTATGTACTGACTCGCTCAGTGCGGTCCAAAAGCTCAGGAAAAGAGAGTCCGTGGGCCCACTAATATATAAGTTAAAGGGAATCGACGCATTTGAGAAAACGTGTTGCCACATAAGGATAGCCGGGAACAAAGAAACAGACAGGGCAGTCAAAAAAGTCGCGGGAAGACTCCATTACATGTTTCCTAACCTGTACGCCCAGCGGATTTAAAACTATTAATATCAAATACTGTAAAAGTAGAATGGGAAAATCGCCGGGCTCGTAAAAATAGAAATAACCCTGCTAAACTGTGGCAGGTTAAGAAAGACATCGGTCCCTGGTCCACGTAGAACGGTTCGAAAAGGGAACGGCCGTACTGACAGACTGCGCATAGTCATTCAAGAATAACTTGCACCTTCTAGCTGGAAGGCGACTGCTCGGATTATTATTATGTATAATAATATAACGGTCGAGCACATCTTCAATTGTAGAAGGCTTTTATAGGCAATATTTTGATATATCCTCGGACCTTCGAGTAGTGTTGGGGTACGGTTGCAGGCACAGATCGCTGTCCGGTTCCTCAGGGTCATAGGGATTTTTAAATGCATTTACTGCTTGTGTTGTGTTTATTTATTTATTTTTTGGAATGAATGTAGCGTGAAATGAAGGTGTTGTTTAACCCCACAATAAGGAACATCGAGTACTCTGGGGGGGGGGACCGGACTTCTATGTTTGTATCGGTGATGATGTATTATATATTTTGTGCCTATTCTGTATCTGTCAACTTGAAGTTCAATCGAGTGGCTACCGTTTTACGATATCAACATATTCATAAAACAGAGATTCAGTTACAGATCGAACCGGTCAAATTACTGTAGATTAAAACAAAAGATGCGTGAAAATCAAAAAAATTCTCAATATTTTATTACAAGCAGAAGACCGGCGATGTCCTCAGCTCTTTGCCAGCCCATCAACCCCCCGCATATTGGACATATTGGAGATAAATTAACTATGTTTTGGATAGTAGACTTTTGATTGTCAATCAATCATTGGGATCACGGATGGTAACCGGTGTTATTGGCTAGGTCTGTTCCGACGAAATCTTCATCTGACCACTGACAATTTCATTGAGAGCCGGTATTTTCCAAACGGTATATTATTACAATGCTATCTAACTGGCATCGACATCAAGAAGTCAAGCGAACTTCTTTAATTACAATCGATTGATAATCTTTACAACAATAATAAACAATTCGGGGTGATTATTAAGTGCTCATTGCAAAGAATCAAAGAGAAATAACGTAGGCAAATAAACTGCCGATTGATTACTGATTTGATACACGCATGTACAGAGTAGAGCTTACCACTTCTCGCAGTGCCCGGCAATTCCAACTTTCGTAATTTACAATAAATTACTGTCTGGCCTCGAGAATCACCCACCTAGGTTGTTAACAGTCCGGGGTCCGACCTCGGTCTTATTTGGGCTCTAGGGGCTACCAGCAACTAGGTCATTTCAGCCCTCAACATAATATGTTCTAATACCAAACCCACTCACTCAATAAATACTACTTATTTACATACCATTCACTCAGTTAGGGTGGTGGAGTAATCGATATCCCTACATCACCCGTTCAACTATTACATAACTAACCTTATTGAGGTCGATGCTCAATATTGCGCCACCGGCCCTCTCACACTACACATCCACGCTAATACATACATTCACCATCAGCACACTTGGAACACAAAACTCATTACTACATACAATAAAACATCCTTATTTTCTCCAAGAATTGGAAAATGAGGTCCAGATACTCGCTGCCGTGCTCAAGCACAATTATCATATCGGGTGGCAGACGCGCTGTACAAATGGAGCACAGAATTGCACCCTTCAATTAGGTAGGACACATCGAACAACCTTTCTCTGCATGCACACGTACACATAAACTGTTTATATACGATGAATTGATAAATTTATTGTTATATATTTGTACATGGCAGTTAACAACATGCTTCAAAAGGCACTGGAATTTTTAACAACCTTCATTTCGTGAGTTATGTCCCTAGAAATGTGTACATGAAATTAAACATTTCAATTTCCAATACGTCAGTGCAATTTTGCCTGGCAATTTAAACGTTGTATGGCAGCTGAAAAACCGAATCGGCGAGGTTGTCTTATTCAAATATATATTCGAGATTACAGGTAGGTTATGCAAAGCGATTTGAGAAAGGGACTGAGAGAATTGTCGTAAATTAAAGGGAACCCGCTGTAAAGTTGTATTCGGACGTGATTGCTCCTGAATAGAGTGGCTCTCTGACGAAATTATTCCCTTTCTATTTCACTCTCAACTGCGACAAGAACAAAAGTGCTTCGATCCACGGAAGCCCCAGATTAAACTCGACAGGTTTATAAATAGATCCCGACTTGTATTTTTCAACAACACACGCTATTTGATATTGTCATTTAGTGTTTTATCTGTATATGTCTTATTGTCAAGATTTGATTTTCCGTTTTCGCAGAGCTTTTGAAAATAAGCGAACTCTCCAACCACGACGAGAATTTTTTTAAAATTTGTTACCTATACATGATAGAGTACTATACAAATACGTAC